GAATCCGTTTTATTATCATTTCAGCAGTGTGTGTGTGTGTTGTTTTTATTTCAACTCTATTCCTTGTTTATTTTTATATTTAAAAGATGTTCCGGTTACAGTGTTAAGTTTTCTTTACAAATTTAAAGTTGATTGATCTCTCAGAGGGAAAATAGCCATTTTCACAGTTCTGGAAACAAGATTATCGTTTATTGTTGGGACAATTCATTGTCCAGCAAAATTTCTTAATGTGATGGACCTACTAACGTCTTTGGGATGGGTCATTAAAATCTTGTTGAACTTCCTCAAACACTGCTTCAGTGTTAGGACGAGGACGGCACCAGTGAATTGGCCAGGGCTGCTGAAAATTCAGATTCTGTCCGAGTTCAATTCCTTTGTCTGAAGTGTTGCTAAATATAACAATAAAGTTGCTGAGCTGGCAACAGTGGGGTGGCTATTGTTAACTCCAAACGTGCAGACGTGACCTGGTGGTCATTTTCATATGTCACTTTATTAAAGGATCTTTAGCTTCTCAAATCAAGATTTTATTTATTTATCTTTTTTTTTTTTTGCCTACAAGAAATAAAGAGCCACACATAATCATGCAGGACACACGACACCACAGCTGTGACTTTGGGGCGACAAACCCGTTCCTGTCTTTGGGCCAACTCTGCTGTACCTCCCCCCCAGCTACCTCGTCTCAGCCAAATAAAACCTGTCAGATCGACAGTCGGAGCCGCTAATGCATTCTGTGGGGCACGAGGACGAAGCACGGAGAATTCAGTTTTAATTGCGACAGCGGATGTCGACGGTCCAGCGGCTGGATTCATAGCTTTGCTCTGAGGTAAAACCTGGCGTTCATTTTAAAACTGATGTTGCAGAGAAGAGTAGAGATAATGTGCTTCGTACAAATGTAGACATACTGTATCCTGTGGGCCTTTGCTGTCTCTAAATATAACAAAACATGATTTTATGAGTAATAAATCAGCCACATTGATAATTGACTGAAAATAAAAATTCTGCTGGAAAGTAGTCTGGAAACTTTAGCGAGCATTAATTTAACAAATAGTTTAGTGTAATTATACTTGCATTGTCATCTAGCTTTGAAATTATCAAAGCAAACAGTAAATGATGTAAGATTTAATATCTGCTTTAGGGTGTTCCTTAAAAAAAATACTGGATAATGTATAGCATTAACATTATCATTTATGATAATGTTGCACTTAATTAGATTTCGAAATCCACCAATTTTCAGATGATCTGTCGGTGAAATACTGAAAAATCAAATTTTTTTCCTGTTCACTAAACGCCTCCATCCTGAAAGCTCAAACTTCATTAGGTCCATTATTCATCAACAATCAGCATAACTAATGGAAATTGTTTTGAGGTTCTGGCAAAAAAAAAAAAAAAATCATGTCTTTCACCAATCAGCACTCTCATTACTATTCACTATTTAGTCCCTTTAATAACTCCCCCCCTCTTAAACCACTGCATACCAGCAGATTACCATATAGATTTGTCTATTCTTTTTTTCAGGAACTGTGTATGTAGTTGTAAAATTCATCATACCTCATCATACTTACAGTATGATGAATCTGCGCATCCTAGTTAAAATCAGACATTGTCAAACTCACAGCTGAAGGGTTTCTGTATTTTGTTTTCTCCTACATATTATGATGTTTCTAAGTTATTTAAGTGCCCAAATGTCTGTATTATCATTATTATTATTACTGTTTTCATTTTTCAGGAATTGTGTGTGTAGTTTTTATGTTTCATGTTTGCAAATCAGGTACAGAATTTAAACACCTGTATTTTTGAAAACATGGAAAAATGGAAAAGTGGAGTAGAAAAAACAAAAACAAAAGTAACATCAGCTCAGCTTGACCCCTTAAAAGTTAAACTATTTCAAAGACAAAACAGTCACAGACCGTTTAGAGGAAGCTGTTACAAAAAATGAACTTTCATATTATCTCACAAGGTTGCGGTCAGCAATCCTTGTCAGAGCTGCAGCGACCAAGCATTAATGTAGCACTTCTGAGAAACGCAATGGAGTGGCAATCAGTAACTACCACTACTCCTGCAGATTTATTTGTATGTGCAGATAAATCTAACCAACATTAAACTGCGGCGCAGATCTTGTCGCCTTGTAATGTCCAGTGCAAATTAATTTCACCCTTATCCCTTTATTTAGGTGCCAGGTACTGCTTTCACGTAGGAATAAACCGTGTGTACACTGCAGCTACAACTGAATAATGCTGTTCTTACAGGTGCCAAAAATCCAGGTTTGTCGACTGAAAGAAAAGGGAGCAGACCAACCAGCGGATGCGTCAGTTTCTGCCAAACTACTCCGGATCCTGTCTGGTGGGTTTTGGGTGTCGATACACCTGTGTGCTGGTGTTACTCTGCTGGTCCTGAAACCTTCTCCAGATCTTATGACAAAGACTTGTTTGATCATTTTAGAAATATATGAGTGAAAATGAACATTTTGAACCAGCTACTTGTATGTTTTCCATTAAACAGGGAGAGATTAAGTTACTACAGTAACTAATTTCCGAGTACCTTTTTAGCTGATTGGAAAAAGCTTGGACTGTAGATTACATGTAAACCACGCAGACATAGTATATTTATTGAAAAGGGCAGAGGTGGTGATCTCGACTTTTCACCTCCATTCTTGGGTAAGACAGAGCAAGATAAGGAGCGTCATGAATCATCCCAGCCAGAGATGGCGATGCTGCTAAACCTTTTCCTGCACAAAGAATGCCTCTGTTAAGCTCCAATGCCCCATTAAAACTAGAGGTTTCCGCTTGAAAAACACTGTTGATGGTGCACAAGGTTTTAAGACGATGAACGCTAAAAGAAACAGGCCCCAAATCGTTTCAGACCCATTATAGACGGTATTAACCGGGCTAAGCTTCACCGCTTATGGTAACATATCGGTACCTAATTACGGAGGTTTCCAAACACAGAGGTAACGCGAGGCCGGTTGAATTTAGTCCCAAACAAGTGTTGTTTAACAATGAATGGACACCACTTACCTCGTAGTGCTTCATCTTGGCAGTGGCTCTTCCTTAATATCTCGGATGAGTGTCAGGTCAATGACCAATCAGCGTATAAACATGCGGTGGCTGAGGACGTCAGGGGCGGACCCTACTCGCTCATGACAGCCTATCACGGCTAGCATAAGTCAGGCGAACACGCTCACTCTGTAAATTGTAGCCAATGAGATTTGAGCAAATGGAACGGCAATGCCGTAGCGCGAGATAATAGGATTTACTTTGGGTTGGCTCGGATTTTACTGTAATATATATATATATATATATATATATATATATATATATATATATATATATATATATATATATATATATTTTTTTTTTTTTTTTGACGTATTCTGAGTTCCTGTTGGTAATTTCGTCCTTCAAATTGCTTGTTACTGTTTAATGTCAGTTCATGCACAATAGGTTCACACATAAAGTGTTTCACAAATAAAGTCCAATGTTATTTAAATGAAATAAAAGAATAGGAAAAGCTCACAATGTAATTCTCAAAAAGACCAGATACAATAACTTCCTTAACTTACATTTTTATATATATCAATTGGAAGTGAAAATTGGGAAGGTTTTTTGCTGATAAGTATCTGATAATCTTCCATTACTTTCATTAAAAGTGGGCTATGTAAATTGTATAAATTAAATTCAGAGCCAGGAGGTGATCTTAGCACTGTCAATCAAACCTGTGTATATGCTGCTCAGAGCCTCCCCTTTGGTTTCTGCTGTGCAAGGTCACCAAAACAAAGCCTGCCATGAATGCTGGCTCTAGCATGGTCACGGAAGATGACTGATAAATGTTTTTTTTTTTTGGAACAGTAAGTTGTTCCTCTATCATTAGCACATTTAGGAGCACATACATAAAATTGATTGACTGCACCAAGATCTGATTGGTTGGAGCAGCATTGAGAGGAGGTGAAGTAGTCCAGTCATTTCACAGATTACCACTCACCTGTCACCACATGGCGCAAATTAAAACATGTGTAAGAAACATTTTCTATAAATTGTGTAAAACATAACATTTTTACACACAGAAATCCACAGAAATTTTAAATACGAATCTTCAAAAAAAAAAATGGTATACACTGAGAGCTTCTGTGTACCTTAAACTTGTTCCTGACGTGTCAGACATGCTTCTGCAGAGTTGGTTTTGGTATGAGCCACGCCCGAGGTGAAGCAAAAGGACCTTTATGTTCAAATGAGCTGTACAAAAAGACATTTCTGCTCTGTTGAAGGTTGCTAATGATGGTTTAAGATGGTTTAAAATGATAATCATCTGAATCAATTATACCATTTAGTTTCATGTAAATAAATAAGGCCAAAGTTTGTGGCGTTTATTAAGATCCTGGTTATCAAAATGTGTTACAATGACCACTGCTGGTATTTGGGCTGTCTTTAGTTGTACTCAAGAAATTGTTATCATAAGTAATTGTAATATAGTGAAGACAAAAATGAACTGTGATGTTGTTCTCCACGCGCACGTGCTGGAAATGGTGTGCTGCTTTCCATTTGCCTCTGAGATTTGAACTTCGATCAGCGAATGATGTCAAACCACGCCTAATCAGCTCCAAGTTTGAAAACTATTAAGATTAGCTAAATCTTACTACCCAGTTCGCTTGGTTTAGACACCAAGCGCGCTGATAGAAGACTAATAATAGTGTATTTAGTTCTGTACATTCAAACACCGAGGCAGCATGCCACCACAAGAGGTTGTAATATTAAATTTCCCATAAAACTAAAAAAGTCTACGTTCTGCTTTTCTGCTATACCAGAAAGTCTGCAAAAACATCGTGGAACGTCTTGTAAAGAGTCTGAGAATCGTTTTTGAACTTTTGCTTAAATAATGACGTTGTTAAAAAAACAAAAATAACGTAATAAAAAAAAAAACTCTTCTACAGCACGTGAAAGCAGCATGAACGTTTCCCGATGGGCGTGAGCTAGCGTGTGACGTCAGAGTGGAGCTGATTCTGGCTGCGTGTGGAACAGTCTGGAAGTTTCTACGCTGTTTATAAGGAGTACGTCCAGAACTCCAGCAGCAGCGCGAGTGGAGGCGGACGCCTAAGCAGGAGCCGACGCGGACAGACGACTTTTGGGGAAAACGGTCAAATCAAGATGGGCAAAGACTACTACGACATTTTGGGGATTAAGAAAGGAGCTTCGGAGGATGATATTAAAAAAGCTTATCGTAAGCAGGCTAGGATGATATTAAAAAGCTTAGTAACGGACAGGAGAAATTCAAAGAAATCGCAGAAGCGTACGACGTTTTGAGTGACCCGAAGAAGAAAGACATTTATGATCGTTTCGGAGAAGAAGGTAAGCGTCATCTTGAACGTGTAGTCCGCTCAGTAATCCCTATGTCAGAATAACTTTATTAAAAATCTTGGTTGACGTGTTAGCCAAAGCAGATGTTAGTATTTCAGTGACAAACGGTGGTTTAGTGGTTATCCGTTACTGTCATGGCGCTTTAAGCCGTGCTCGTCCTTCACGGAGAGTTTTACCTTCAGGGCTAACTAAAAGCCAGGGCCCTGTTGGGACAAACCCAGACCTGTTTCCATAATAAATCGGCTCCTAACGGGAATGTATCCCGACTAATAATGGCAGCCACATTGTTGTTATGAAGCTGCTACTGATGGTAGCCAGCTGCAAGTTCACCTACAGTTCTGCCAAAACAAAATGACGGGCAAGGAGCCGTGGCCTGATTAGCACATTCTTTAATTCAAGTGCTCGCCACGACTGACTTGATCAGAAACAGTAAAAAACTATGGTCCAAAGTTTGCTCCCTGTGTGGCGTGTTGCCATGGTTACGTCACGTGTTTAAAGGTCACGCATGAGACGTGAACCCGCAACTGCTCTCACGCTGGGGTGAGAGGACACGTTTTGTTGTGAGAGAGGCTGGAAAACGTTCAGATCACACAACTAGTTGTAGCTTTTAGCCACATGGCGGGCATGGAGCTGTCTGCTTACAATGAGACACTATGTATTTATAGAAAAGTTTTCATACAGTTGAATGAAACCCAGAAACGAGAATGCAATCAAGCTAAATAGGGCAAACAATGTATTGAAAAAAAACTAGCAATCTTAAATGAAACTAATAGAAAAAAAAACACCATAATAATAATAAAAAAATAATTTAAAAAATGATATTTAGTACCTTTTATGATTAGAGCAGAAAAGAGACAAAGGAAAATTAGCTTAATAATTTTACACATGAAAAGAACTCAAATATAATACAGATTGATTGCATTGAAAATACCTTTCAGATGTTGTTGTTTATTCAGGAAAGCTGTTTTTAATTAATAGTGCCTCATCCTAACTCTAAATATTAACAAAAATACTCATGTGTGCAGAAGACATGTTGGATAAATAGGATGTACTTTAATGAATAATACGGAAAGTATTGCAAACATCGTTGACATTTTTTGTGTTCGACCTCATTTCTTGTGTTCTGTTTTGTCTCGAGTATAAACTCCTCAACCAATTCAAGAATATGCAAATGTAAAACATCAAAATTCTCCTCACTTTTGTTAAGTTTTTGCAAACACTGCTTTTTTTTTTCTTTAATCCACGTTAATGCGGAATAACCCTACTGAAAATGTATCATTGCCTTTGTTTAAATGATCTCGATGGTGCGACATCTATGACCTTTTTTATAAAAGCCAAACCAAGGCTTGTTTCATTGGTCATTGCTTCCTGTAAGTTTGAGACCGATGCCACCTGTTCTATCAGTAATTACACTTAAGCATCCCAAAATTGGTATTGCGAAATGTTAACCTCTTTTTGTGTATTTAGGTCTGAAAGGTGGTGGTGGTGGCGGACCAACAGGGGGCAGCGGACCTGGCACCTACAGCTATACCTTCCATGGAGACCCTCATGCCATCTTCGCAGAGTTTTTCGGCGGCCGAAACCCCTTTGAGCAGTTCTTCGGCGCTCGTAACGGTGGCATGGACGAAGACATGGACACCGATGACCCGTTTGCCCAATTCGGGATGGCCGGTCGTGGAATGGGTCCCGGTGGCATGGGCGGCTTCTCGCGCTCCTTCAACCCTGGCATGGGAGGAATGGGCGGTCACACTAGCGTTGTGAAGAAGCAGCAGGACCCACCCGTGGTTCACGACCTCAATGTGTCACTAGAAGAAGTGCTGCACGGTTGCATGAAAAAGATGAAGATCTCCCGGAAAAGGCTCAGCCCCGACGGCCGAACGACGAGGACGGAGGAGAAAATCCTGGAGGTGCAGATAAAGAAAGGCTGGAAAGAGGGCACCAAGATCACGTTCGCCAAAGAAGGGGACGAGACGCCGAGGAACATTCCAGCGGACGTGGTGTTCGTGCTGAAGGACAAACCTCATCCCGTGTTCAAGCGGGACGGCTCCGACGTCGTTTACACCGCCAAGGTCTCACTACGCGACGTAAGTTGGGATTACTTAAAACTTGCAAAAAAAGCAGATTTTATATTTAGCATGTAAAGGACCAATGAGATACAGTAATTTTCTTGCATTTGGGACACAATTAGCTGAAAAATTAACATGTACTTGCAGTCATCAAGGCAAGTGGAAAACTAAGCCATCAGAAATCAAAGGTGCAGCAGGCCGAACGGGAAGCGGTGCAAAGATGTGAGCAGGATTAGCACCAGGCGAAGAGATTTGATCTGTGCTGCAAGTTGTAAATTATTTTATTAGCCTAAATGTAAATATTTATAATATTGTATTCTTGGTAGCTTCTTGCGTCGACCAATAATCCCTCCATGAACCACACTTTGACTCAAAACTGTTTTAAACAGTGTTGTGGTGAATCACGTCGCTAACCGTTCTTTGCTCTTCTTGCTCCATCAGGCCTTGTGCGGCTGCACGGTCCAGGTGCCCACTCTGGACGGCAGGACGGTGACCGTCACGTCCACTGACGTCGTACAGCCCGGGATGAAGCGACGGGTGAGCGGGGAGGGGCTGCCCTACCCCAAGCGACCCGATCGCCGAGGGGACCTGATCGTGGAGTTCGAGGTGAAGTTCCCGGAGCGGCTGAGCAAGAACGCTCGGGACACCATCGCTCAGGTTCTTCCGCGATCGTGAACACGACGGCTGAACTCACTCTTGGGCCGCCATCTTTTTACCCGTGAATTATAACACGGACGTTCACAAGTTGGACTCGACGCCAAGAGCGACACTCCCGACATTCGGATTGCCCCGAATGTCACGCGGTCCTCTGTAATGTAAATACAGACTTTTGATAGATTTGTTCCCAATGAACGAGTGCTGCTTTTCAGAAGCTTGACTGTAAATATGTTTCCGACGTGGCGTGGTGTTTGGTCTACTAAGCGAGTTTATATTTTTCATGAAAACTGTGCAATACATGAGAGACTACATGTGCCACTGTTCTACAGACTCTTTTGTTTATAACAGTTTTCATCGAGAAACCTTTATTTTTTTGTGCCAAGTTTAAGCATCCAGGTTTGCAGTGGATGGTTTACACAGATGTATTTGACACATCGTAAGTGTAGAAAATCGGCTTATTTTACTAAGAATAGCAGGTCACGCTCTGAAGAACGACAGAGATGAAATACTGTTCTCTGTCTTCTGAATAATGCTGCATTAAGAACAATAAAAAGAAAAATGGTGCTGTTTACACCCAATGTCTCCTGTATGTTTCTGTGAGATGGTCTGTAGGTCACTTCCTCACCATGCTTGTCCATGAAGTGTCATATTAAACATTAGCTTTATAGTGAGTGTTTTTCAAGTATTTTTTAGCAGTAAAATTGAATGTTACTCCTAGCTTAGCTGCAGGAATACTGTAGAGATTTATAGGGATGTTTTCCTGTGAAACGTCAGGACATGTTGGTACCTGCTGAGAGTTGTTTCAACTCCACAGCCGACCTGAGTGTTTCTGTTGACCCCAGACGTTTTTCATGTCTCCTTCCTATTGGACAGAGCGCCATGTCACAAAGCTCCAATCATCTTAAAGTGGTGTCTCGAACATGACAACGAGTTCACTGTGTTCCAGCGGTCTCTTATCTGGAGTCACCAGATCTTCACAGAGCACATCTCTGGGATGTGGTGGAATGGGGAACTTTTCACGGTGGATGCGAGGCCGACCAATCAGAAGCAGCTGTGTAATTCTCCCACGCCACTTTGAACCACAATCGTCACCATTTATGTCATGAAAAGCAGGGGAGAAAACTGGGTCATGCTGGGTAGTTGTACTTGGTGCCAGTTTGAGTCCATCTGTTCTGAATGTTCCTCTCACCAAGACATTTAGTAACACCTGTCACTTAATTAAAGTCAGAGCCTGAATTATTCCTCAGTTGCTACAGGGCCAAATATGTCATAAGACAGAACTGACGTCCCCTCTGCTGAAGCTACATGACGTTGAGCTCATTTTGCGTGTGGTCACTTCCTTGAAGTCGTTTGATTACGTTTCGGTGAGGAGCCTGATGTGTGCGGTTTAACGGGGCCATCATGGCCGAAACGAATAGACCTCAAGTTGCCTTCAGATACCCGTGACACGGTCTGCAGACAGACCACTTATTGAGTCTGATGGCCTCCAGCGTAATTGGCTCTAGACCTTTGGAGGCACACAAATGGCTGGGGGAGTTCGGCATGAACACTGAGCACTTTATAGCCCGTCACAGTCATGAGCTGGTTCTTCAATACCGGGTGAAAGTGATGGGAAGAACTACCATACGCTGTATGTTTGCTGTTAGGGATAAATAGCGGCATGGTACATCAGGCTGATGCCATTTTTCTTTCACACTGAGGCAAGCTGAATCCGAACTGCTGTAATCATTTGCTGCAGAACTGTTTTGGGCGCAGCGTTGCTTTCCTCTTCAAGTTTTATGGCAGTAAATTAGATTAGCAGTACAAAATGACGTTCTTTCTTTTGACTTGGAATCAAAGAATGAGATCTCTCCTCTTCACTTTCTGTTGCTTTTCAGGTGAGTTTATTGCTCAGTTTGTAAGAGTCGATATTTTGGCTTTCCATATTCTTGCACTGAGAGGAGGAAGACTTTGCAATGCTTAGAATGTTTTATACTGAAATCGCTTCAGCATAAACTGCAACTCACATGTTTGACCCTAACAACTGAAGACAGGTTTCATAAATATCATAACGTTAAATAAGTTTGAATGCGATTTTAAATTTAGAATTATTTGTCCACCGTGAAATTTTATGTTGCTTAACAATTCAGCACTTTTTTTTTTTTAAACAACAGTCCACAGTTTATTCAGGCTGGATCAGATAAGGCTGGATAAAGGGGCAGCCCAGAAGGGACAGCATAGCTGAATGAGAGAACAATGTCGCCCAAGAAATGCTGTTCTGGATTTATTATGTTTTTGAACATGTTTACCGCTCTAATTAATCTGCGTGCTGCTAAATAATCTCATCGTTACAGCACACTCTATGGATTTGGGAACAATTAAATCCTCTTCCTGGCAGTCTATAGTTATGATCTTTTCTTCATCTTGAATCTTGTCTACTTTTGAAAACCTGTGCTTCCTATTCACTTGCTTCCTTGTTTGTGTCTCACAAAATTTGCCATAAAAAATTTGCCATTCTATTTTCATAGAAATTATTAGTTTCCAGTGCTTGGAAAATACCATTCATTCCTCTTTTGTATCAGAAAAAGCTTCTTGGTTAAATAAAAATAGTTTGCATCTACTTTTGCTATGGGTATAGACAATTTTTTCCTACTATAGAATAGTAGTTTAACACACAACCACACCTGTACAAATTTAACACATCTTTTTTTTTTTAAAGCAACATTTTGCACAGCTTGGCCTGTTTTCCAAATGAAACATTAGTCAATTCTACAGGAGAACTTTATTTAGGTAAAAGAGGAGACTCTCCACTGCGATGTTGCCACATCAGCGGTCGGTATTTAAATGGCAAAAATGTACTGAATCCATAAAAATCATCCAGGTGAGAATTGTTGAGACGACATCCCTCATGGGCTGAAAACGATAGGATTCACTGGGACTTAGTGGTGAAAAAGAGTGGCTCAGGAAGCAGGAAGCTCCATTTTCACTCATTAAGTGCACATTTTTGCAGCAGAGGATCTTTGATATGCACTCTGTTCACATGATCTTCTGAGTTCCCCATATTTGCAACAAAATATGTACTGTAGATGAATTCACGCCAGAGAAAGGGAACAAAATAACGGGCAGGGAACAGAAGAATGAAACAATGAAACAAGATATAAGGAGCTTAAATTCTGGGGCAGGGTTGTAAAGTGAGCCAGAAAAAATAATAATGGGAAATGTTATGGGAAAGCAGTGAAATGTGGAAAGAGATTAATTAACCCAGAGGAGTACGAACTGAGACTCAAGGAACTAGAAACAAGAAGCCTGACAATAATCTGAGACACAGAGAAATGAACTGTGTAGAGCAACACAAATAAACGATAAAGTGTTTGAACAAAAACCTACTTCACTAATGAGACATCAGGGATCACTTTGCATGAATTACTCCATTGATGTGGTGTTGGAGACCCATGCTGCTAAAAACCATAATTCAATTTCTCAGAAAAAATGACATAACACAAATTAAAATGTTTTTCTCATATATAAATGTATTACAATGTTCAATAATGGTGACTTGACAGTTGTCCAGCTGGCAGCCACTGACACACTCCACGAGCAGGGTAAGCAACAAATGGCCAATGTTAAAGATAATATCCAAGTATCTTCTCAGAAAGTTAAGTGGAAGGAAAAACTGTGGTTGAAAAAAATACACAAGATGCACATATCTGCAGACGATTGCAGCCTTTGGCATTTCCAAAACGTTTTTAATGAGAGGGAAGCATTTACTTGCAGCCTGCTGTGCTGGCTTTTGACTTTATGAACCATAAGGGAGCCAACGACCTCAACCATCTTGCCTCTCCACTCTTCTTCCTGATTCTGGGACCTTGTTTTCCAAATCCAGTTCTTTGCTCAACAATGGTCTGCAGTTATATGTTTCTTCAGAACTTCTCTTCACTAAAGATTTTCCTTCCACTCAACATTGTGGTTATATATTTCGGTAACATTTAACATTGACCATTTGTTGCTTACCCTGCTTGTGGAGTGCATCAATGGTCAGCAGTCTTCCCCATGACTGTGTTGGCCTTTATATAACATTTTTGTGTCAAAAATCCCTTTTTGTTGGTCTTACATAATATTTTTCTGAGACACTGGATTTGGCTGTCAGCCATGATGATTAAATTAACAAAAAATCACTTTAGTTATCGAATAATTTGACATTTTGATTACACCAAAATGTCAAAGATTAGTCATTTTTACATTTAACTTAATGTAAAATTACTGATACAAGATCAGTTACTAAAGTAGATTTATAGAAAAGGAGTTGTGCTGTGCCTTTAAGAGGAGCCGTTAACTTCTTCTCTTTTGTTTTTTTTTATGAGGGCCCGGGAAGGGTTCTGTTCTGTTAAAATGAAAGTTGAATAAAAAGCTGGACAGTGTTATGTTCTTTCTCCGTCCACGACCTCCTGTTTTGTGGTAACATCGTGACTAAAATCACATTTCCAGGCGAACCTTAAATTACTCTCAATAAACCAAAATCACAATTCCTATGTCCACATAACACCTTCTGTGTGCTAAAGTTAGCTAAAAATAATTATTAATCTTCAAGCAGACTTCGTTTCACCCTGCAGTTGTGCGCCTGGACGCCTCGGAGGTTCTGGAGGCGAGCGGCCATGTTGGAGGAAACGTCTCCATCCACTGCTTCAGTAGCTGGTCTCCACTCAACGTCTCTGAGCTCCACGGCGCACATTTCTGCAAAGGGGTCTGCTCCGGCGAAAACACCATCATTCAGATGGAGGTGACGAGCTCTGCCGTGACACGGGACGGGAGATACAGCATGGAGTCTAATGGAGGAGATGGGGTCTTCACCGTCACAATAAACCGGCTGAGGAAAGCCGATGCTGGGAGCTACCTCTGTGGAATGGCGAGAACCTTGAACGTCACGTACCAGGAAGTTAGGCTAAAAGTTGTAGATGGTAAGTATTTGGCGAGGATGAATACCTTGTCGAAGAATACCACCTATTTTTTTTCACATTCTTTAAAGTCTGCGACAATAATTCGGGAAAAAAAAGAATCCAAGTCAACTCAATTGGGAAGCAACATCCATCCGTGTGTCGTTCAATGTCAGTCGTAACTCCCAGTGTTTAGCTAGAGATCATTAGTGAACAGACAGCATTATGACGACCGGGAGACACAGCAGACAAATTAGGGATGAATGATGGAGAAGCTTAAATTAATTATTAATCATTGCTTCTCAGCTTTTTTATGTTTCCAGCAGTAATTTGGTGGTTTTTGTTGAGTGATAATTTCCAAATCATTGAAATTGGAAAAGTCCTTCGCCTTCACTTTAATCATCTGCTCCATACATGGATTCTCTATCAGATTGAAGTCAGAACTCTGCTTTAGTCACTCCAAAATGTTAATTCTACATTGGTACAATCAAAAAATTATACCAACATGAATCTGTTAGGGGCACAAACAATTTTAGCTGTGACTGCAAGTACTTAGTAATACCTTTTCAGCTAGCAAAATGTCTGAACTGATTTTGGATCCAATCAACTCCTTGTATCTACATTTTGACTAACTTGAAAGACTGACATTCAAATAAAAAAAAATCTGTGAATGTGTACATATTTAATTTTGTTGTTTGAATTTTCTTGTTTTTGACTATATGTTAAAGTGTCACATGGGTCCAGACCTATGTAGCCATATTGTATCTCACCAGTCATTCTTGGTCTCTCAAAGCTTTCACTGTTCCAGCTGGATCCTCTGTAACTCCGAGTAGCGTCCTGCCGACGGGGCTACTCTCTCCCAGAGGTGGCTTTTCAAGCGGCGGAGCATCCGACGAACCAATCACGCTGCCACCTTCAGGGAGGAAGAGAAGACAGAAAGAAGCAAACAACTTCACAGGTAGTACGCCAAGCAAACCTTAAGAGAAGCCATCGAAATACTTTGATCAGTGTTATAAGAATTGTTTTGATTTGTAACAATTGCAATTAAAAATTTTGTGGCAATTTTAGCAACAGAAACAAGTCGAATTAGTTTCTAAATACATATAAGCCAATTTAGTCCAAATTTAGTTTTTTTTAATTTTTATTGATTTGCACTACATGAAAACAACTGTTGCAAATAAGTGATTCATACAAATACGAACTTAAGAATTTGTTAATGTATAGTGCAGAAGAGAAAGTTGGTTTCTACTAAAATAAAATTATATAAATTACAGTAAAACAAAACAGATATTATTCCAAGTCAATCTGATTTATTCTAATCTAAGTGGTAAAACCCAGTTACTAAAACAAAGTGAAAAAAGTATTTCAAAAAAGTAATCTCAGACAATATTGGACTCCCAACAGCAGAAGCAGAAAACTGAGCTTTAAAAATATAAAATATATTTAGTCAAGGGTGACCCTTAAGTCATCAATAAAATCTTGAAATTAATGTCAAAAGTAACATGTAGTCAAAAAAACAACAACGTGTATCTGCTGCAGTTTAAACCAATTGGTTTATGTAAGCTTTTCTGGCCAAGGCGAATTTATAATGAGTTTCAATTATTGAATTTAGAGAAGATAATGAATCATGAATGACCACGTCTGTTTTGGTTAAAACTGAACCAACCTCACCAAGTTCCTTCAGGACGAGGACGGCACAGCTGAATTCATATGCTGACTTAAGATGAGAATCATTTCAAAATTGACTCACAGGCCTTTTGTTGTTTCATAGACAGAAATATGCATAAATTTAGCAAAGATGACATCAGTCTCATCCATTTTTAACTGGAGGCTGATCTGTGCAATCCAGATTTAATATTGTGGTGATTGTTTTGTTAGATTGTAAACCTTTTTCTTTTTTTTTTTTTTACAAATATTAATTTCAAAGTGAACTTGATAGCACGTATTTCTGTATTTATATTGAATCCATTTGTGTTGTAAGATGCCTTGATTTGTTGCAAATTACCACAAAATAAAAAAATATATAGTAAAATGATCTCAATGCAATCATTCAAAGCATCCAGTTTACAAGTGTTACTGGTGTGAAAAGAGTCAACGTGTCATAAAAGTAAAAATGTCAGCTGTCTGCAGCTGACGTCTGTAAGAACCCAAATGTCAGAGGACCAAACACACACCCCTGAGGTACACCTTTTGTCTGTTTTTAAAATATGACTGCAACTTGGCAGACTTGCCACACGAACATTATACAAATAAAACCTTGAGTATATAAATGCAATTTTTTTTTGTTTGTCCTGTGCAACCAATAATTGTCCAGCTTCCTGATTCTAGTTGTACATACATTATTTTAATAATGATAATAATGACCTTTATTTAACCAGATAATGGGTATTAAGTTAGCAAACAAAATGCAATACAAAGGAAGAATAAGGGCAACACTGAAATAAAGTTGCCCCTTGGGTAAAACACATTCACAGATATGTGGAAGAATAATGAAGCAGAGAATCATAATGTTGAGGCAACAAAAATATAAAAACAGCTACCGACCTGTTAGGAATGTTACTGTAATTGCTTTTTAAATACAGATGTATAAAAAGTGTAGTAACCAGTAGTCTCTGTTGTCTGCAGACACAATGGTTGTTATAATCGTCTCTGGCAGCGTGGCCTTTCTGGTTTGTGCCATTATTCCTCTGATATTCTACAGACACTGGCGGAACATGGGCGGTGAGGCATCACAAATAGAGAATTCCCAAGGTTTTGCTGCCTGAAACGGCTAAATTAATATTTCCATGTGCTTGTTTCAGGTGAGAACAGACTGTCGGAGAACAAAAATGAGGTAAAGTCGATTTCTATCCGATTTGTTTTGCCACTGAAAACAAAGACATACAAATGTAATTATTCTCAGGACGACTGCTGTCAGGAAAACGTAGATACTGCCTCCACTCAGGTCGCAGTTGGGGTTCAGACTTCTGAAGAAGACGATCATCCAGGATCTGGTGCAGACGATGGTCTCCGGTATGCGGCTGCGTACGAGGGGCTGGATCCCAGAAGCCTTGAATGAGCAGGAGTTACTCTGTTTCTGTGCAGCTTTTTAGTTTAAAAATTGCTAACTGTATGTAAAATAATAAACACCTCCTTTAATATTTATGTGTTCCATATAATGTTTCAGATTTTGGAGAGTAACAACTGAGGCAAACAAAATATCGAGAGTTACAGAAAGAGATGTGTCATTCAGTACTGACATAGCAATAAGCACAGCAATTAAAAGTTGACAAAAAGACCAGCAGAGGGCGCCCCACTGTGTCTGCTTTAGAGTAAGAGTATTTTTATAAATGTTGTTCAGCGATTCTTTCGGTTTCATGAGGTTTATGAGGCTGAGAGGTAGATGTTTAAGATTTTATGAATCTTAAATATTTATTCAACCCACTTTAGGTAAGACCAGTTTAGGTATTTAAGATTCGCTACTTATTTGGTTGATTGAACACCCAAATAAGAAGCAGAAGTCTTCACTGAAGGAACCTGAGAAAAGTTTCAAATATAAGTCTAATGTAACAGCCATCCTTTTTCCTACCCACGTATTTCCTGTCTAAGGTCAAATGTGTGGTTGAGTCTTTCTCCAACATCCACATGACTAAATTTTGTCACACTTCTACTACTAACATGTGCATTGATTTTATTAATGTATTTTAGCCATATTATCAATTCAGTGTGTTTAGTGTACACTCTTCCCTATTTAATTACAGACTTTTGTAATGTGAAATAATGAGCGTCATAAATCATTTTTGAACTTTTTCCACACATAACTGAACATTTATACTTAATCCAACTGACAAACAAACAAAAGAAACATTAAACAAAAGAAAAAATGACAGTAACCAGGTTGCATAAGTGTTTGTATGTATGTGCGTGTGGATAAATATAACGTGAACTGCTTTTTGATTTGTTCTCGGGTTTTAAATGGTTGGAAACAGGCAGCATCAAACATGTTGACGCAGATATTTATGACTACCTTACAAAAGTCCAGTTGCCTCCGCCATGATTTACATGAGCCTACGCCTGGCAGGTGCAGACGATGGTCTCCGGTATGCGGCTGCGTACGAGGGGCTGGATCCCAGAAGCCTCGAATGAGCAGGAATTACTCTGTTTCTGTGCAGCTTTTTAGTTTATAAATTGCTAACTGTATTTTCAGTAAAAAGAACAAACATCTCTTTGAATATTTATGTGTTTCATATAAGATTTTGGAGAGTGACAACTGTGCCAAACGAAATATTGAGAGCTACAGAAAGAGGCATGTCATTCAGTATTGACATGGCAATACTTAATAACAGTATTGTCAATTAAAAGTCTCGTAATTGACTTGTTCTCACACATAGTTTTTGACATTGTTCCCACGTCTGAATAGTTTCACGCAACCCTATTGTTAGCTTAGACTTTTGAATAAAACTGGATATTTGGGGTAAAAATGTCTTAAAATTATTTTGAGCATGTACTTTCACATCATAAAATCATTGTATTTTAACAAAGGTGTACACTTCTTAGAGCTACTGCAAATTAAAACAAAGATAATATCGAGTAAACTATTAAAAATAATATTCTTTAATCAGTTAATATTTACATCGAACTCAAGTTACAAGTTTTCACAATTTGATAAATCCATGTTGGTAGTAAAGAACAAAGTAAATCAAGGTTTTTTTTATCCAGAAACATTCTGGTTTTTATTTGTGCATTTTAAAGCTTTTTTAGTCGTGTTTCCTTTCCCCCCCAATCTTCTTGTTTTACTACTCTGGTGGTATTTAGCTCCTTGTTTCACAATTTATTTCAAAAGTTTTTTTTTGTTGTGTTTTTTTTAACAATAATTTGCATTTTATACTTGAAAGTCTCAACACCACCTTCTTATTTACTTTCTGTTTCTGTCACAGCAAGTCTCATGCTTATTAATACCACAAATAGTACCGAGGTTCTTTATTTTTAACCTGAACATTGTTACTGAGCCCACGCTCTCCTGTTTCTTACTAGACCACAACAGAAGTACAATCTGGGGATTTCTGTATGGGTGATAAACATAGCCGGTTGTCAACAAATCAAAAAATGATGTGTTGTTTCTAGGTAAAAGAAAAAATAATGTTTGTACTGCGTGTGTACTATGACTCCTCATAAAAATTAGACTTTGTCACTGTGTACACACATGTACATTTAAGCCTCCAGGTTCTTAATTTTGAGTCAAAGACACTCAGATGAAAATTAATCTGTTTAACAAGTTTGTCTTTAGTTCAAGAAAAAAAAAAACAGCGGGCAGATAGGGAAGCGTGGGGTAAGTTTACCTGCACTCTCAAGTTATTCTTACATGTTGCCATGTGGACATAAACTCTGCAAGTATCCCTTTTTCTAATGCAATATTTTTTGCTTGTCAAAGTAAATATTTTATATTTCAGCTGTTATGACTGTTATGTGAAAGCAAATTTATATAACATCTATTGTACAAAAATTTATCCTATAGATGTTGACAGTTTGCCAGCATATTGAGCCATTTAGCTACGGATCTGTTTGAATTTCTAAGCTGGGTCATTTTTTTCTCCAAAGTGGAGGCTGTGGGTCAAATGCCTTGGGGATAACTGGAGTCAGTGCTTCCATTTCTTGACTCCAAGGAGTCAAAAAAAAAAGACTCCTAGAAATGAGTCAATTCACATTTGGCACTCACAGCAGAAAATATTTCTGAATCCTTCTCTAGAGTTGTGATTCAAGACAATCCCGTCTCTGAGGTCTAAAGACAATTCTTTAGATTTCATGCTTGGTGTTTGACCTCTGACCTTATACAGACGTGTGGTCACACATGTCCACACACACATGTGTGGACCTGTTTGTGGATACTATAGCGACGAGTGGTATAAAGTATTATTTCACATTTCACTGAAACGTGAAGACATATAGGAATCCTAAATCCTGTTTGGTATAAAAATAAAACCCCCTTCACTGGAGCCCAACGAGGTTCTGCTTACTGTACAAACTATCACTTCCCTTGGGTTGCTGACGCCCACATCTCCCACATAAAGTCCAATCAACTGAATTCACCACAGCTGGACTCCATTTAGAAAAGATTTACTTGCAAGTTTGTGAAGATAAAGAAGTTACACACACAAACTGTGCAGCTAACCTGCTAGCTAACGCTGCCATGTAGTTTATATCTTGTTAAAAGCTTGTGTTGTGTCTGAAAAATATCACAACAGTGGCTTACATGCACTGTTGTATAGGCCACTGTTGCTTTTACATGCACGCACTATAGCGACGAGTGGTATAAAGTATTGTTTCACATTTCACTGAAACGTGAAGACATATAGGAATCCTAAATCCTGTTTGGTATAAAAATAAAACCCCCTTCACTGGATCCCAACGAGGTTCTGCTCACTGTACAAACTATCACTTCCCTTGGGTTGCTGACGCCCACATCTCCCATCTTCTGCTGTCTGCAGTAGAAACCACAGGAAGCTGTCAGGGGGGGTGAACTCTTGTTTACATGTAATTCCATTAGTAAGAGCTCAGACGGCAGTGAGGCTTAGCACCAGGTTTGATCTCTACATGCTCTTCTAACAAATCGTACCGACTCTGCAGTGACCACCGAGCCACAATGAGGAGCCTTTCGGTCCTCTGCTGTCTTCTTACAGGTATGAAGTAGTCTTAGAAAAATAAATGTAATTACCGCAACTAATTTTAAAATGCTCAACTGAAGCCTAACATAACGTGAAATGATTTTCACAGTGATGTTGTCACTGGGAGCCGAGATCAACGTTGAGGGAACAGAAGGGGGAGAGGTGTCGTTCAAGTGCTCCCATAAACTGGCGCACAACAACAAAAAGTACTTCTGCACAGACCCGTGCAAGACCATTGAAGACATTCTGGTTGACGTGTCCCCTGGTGAGACTGCCACCTCTGGAAGGATAACTCTGGTGGACACTGAGGACGGCGCCTTCACGGTTAAAATCACACAGCTTCTTCTGTCAGACGCACACGTGTACTGGTGTGCCGTGATCAGGTCCATCAGCAACACGTACACGTCGGTGAACCTGACTGTACATAAAGGTACGTTTCATCTCTAGTGTAAAACCAGACTTCTGTATTCCATCTATTACTGCTTGTTGTTAGAGGCGGATTTGTAGGCATGTCTACGTGTAGGAGACTACGTGTAGAACGACTAAAAATTTAATTGGGCTGTCCCGCTAGTTTGGGAATCATATCTCTGGAAACCAGTATAGGTATCAGCTGGATGAGCTTAAATTTTTTTTTTTTTAATTTTGCAACACCTCTTAGTAGGACTGAAGTTCTTTTAAACGGTTTAGTTTGCCTGAATAGCAAATGTCTCAACCAGTTTTATAAGTTGTAGAACTTAAAGAAAAATAAATCAGTTCTGATGAATAAATATTTAATCTATGGTGGGGAACAGTCAATCCCACGCTTAATGAAGCAATGAGATTCTGGAAGTTTATCACTATTTATTTGATTAATCAAATTACTTTCATCAAAAATTATATTATTACCTGTGACCTGTAAAGATTGTATTCTGCCTCTCGCCCGGAACGTTAGCTGCAGATTGGCACCAGCAACTCCCGACCCCAATGAGGTGTAAGAAAATGGATGGATGGAAATATTATTACCAAATGCTAGAACTGAGTGAATGAAATGCACTCACAAAAATCCCTACACAATTTCTACATCACTACAAAAATTAAGAGTTTTCTGATTAAGAATCGTTTGAAATAAAGTTTGAAAATATTATCATTGGCCCTAGTTAAAAACATCACGCTTTTATTAACAAAATTGTCTAGAAGTTTAATGCAGGTGGGTTTAAAATCAGACCTGAATTCTAAGACCACTTTTGAATTTGACTGGGGAAGTGAATTTGTGGGTTTGATTCAAGATTTCCAAACCACAAAAAAAAAATAAAAATCCACCTCAGAACTCAACAAATTACCTCATAATGTGGTCTGAAATGAGGTTGTTGGGTCATCCCTTTCTTAGAACCAACTTTGGACCATGGTAGTTGCAGGACACCACACACTGTGAAACCTTGCTGTCGGTCCAGCCAGTTGACTGGACCCGGTTTACATCGGTTTGGAGCCAAATTAAGATTTATATGAGTGAAAAAAACAAACAAAAAAAAAAAACTTTGCTGGTTAGACCAAAGTCTTTCTCCCTGGTTGAATAGAATAAAAGAAAACCTTGTGAGATACAAACAAAAGCAAATGAAAGCGACTGATTTGGTTGAATCAGACAGAATGCTGTTGTGGATTCTTTTTCTTCCCTTTTTCAATCAGATTATCAATAATCAGCAGGAGCTGATGGCGTCTGGAGGCAGAAAGGTCACCAAGCACAATAACAAGCCAGGAGTAAAACTGATTTATTTTTGAAAGCTCTTTTCAGACATAAAAAACTGACAGGATGAATCAATCTAGTCTCTGCACACATAATACATACTTCATAATTGAGAAGGTTTGCACATTCAAGATGAACATGCCGTCATTATTTTAGAATTGAACACAATGATCATTGACTTCTAAAAGTTACAAATATGAAAACTTTTGCATGAATTTCTAAATTGGCAAAAATACAATAATTTAGGTTTTGTCAGAATTTGAAGAGATTGAGCATGAGACACAACTAATGTGCATGAGACTAATTATGGTCTATGTGGTGTTGCAACAAATATATTCATATTCAATAAGTTAGAGTATTTTTGAAATCTTTATTTATTTCACTAACTCATTCCACAAAGAGAAACAGGTTATTTAAATTAATAGGAGACTGGTTTTCACACAGAATTCAAGTGAAGGGTATTATATCGGACCAATAAAAACATTTTTCACACAAAAATATTGGCTTAAAGAAAAGTACACTTAACGCCTTTATCTGAAAACCTTCTTTTGTTTCACTCTTCTGAGCAGCTTTTAAAACGACGGTTTCCCCCATTGTTTCTTCCGCCTGGTTTCCGACCGTCAGCAACTCAACACAACTGACAACCCGCATGGGAACAAATGCGACAGGAAACCTCTTAGAAGGTAGGAGTGCCTGTCATTTCATTTCATACGCGAGTCCTTGTGCATTAAAATAATCAATACCTAATTCATTATCTCTGCTTACAGTGATAAACAGCACCACTCCAACAGCCTCAGCGTTGGGCACCACCAGCCTCACCAGATACGGTATCTATCTACTCATCTGTTAAACAGTGTGTGCACGAGAACGATCAGATAACGTACTACATATATATTTTTTTATCTTGCATCTGATCAGACCCTGTGCTGTTTGCTGCGGCCGGGACCGCTGCTGCACTCATAATCTTCAGCCTGGCGATGTACGCCAGGAAACGCCGAGAAATGTCAAAACCTCTGCTCCTCTTTTGCCTCGACAACAAAGAGCCCAGGAGTGAGGTCAGGAAGTGTCCTCACAGCACACTTAAGCTACAGGCTCGTTCTAAACAGCAGATTAATCAGAGTTGACAGAGCTGCTTTCTTTTCCTGGTTGCAGGGGCGGAACGTATGAAACGGGTTTTTCCAAAAGCAGTCTCTCTCTCTCTGTTAAAGTCTGAGAAGGTTTTTTTTTTTTTTTGCGTAGGGGTGTTTTACCACCACATCTACTGTCAAAGTGTCAAACGGGTGTGGAACCTCGGCGAGGAATAGTTTGACATTTTAGTTTATCCCACATCTAATGGAGTGATCAAGCATTTCTACAGTTTAACACCTCTGTCACACATCTGCTGGGGGTGCAATTTGACATTTTAGTAAAACAATCACTCTCTCTCAGTCACTCACTCCTTTATCAACAAATAGTGTGACATAGACAACATGAAAGAAAAAAGATAGCGGAGAACTGAAGCAAAATAAAACAAGTGATGGTTATCCTAATTATATATACATATATATATATTATTAGTAGTGACAGGACTAATACTTTCTGTCACGGTTACGGTACAGATCATAACCATGACAGCACAACGTAACATTGTATAGCATTGGTAGATACGTCCATATCAGTTACATGTCGCTCCTTCATAAGAGGGATTAGACAAAAATTTGTATTACACTTATCTATTCAGACTCTTCCTTCTGCTTCGCTTCAACCTACGAGCTACAATCAACTCATGAAGCCGACAGAAATACGGAGACCTGTTCAGGAAAGCTGTAGTCACGAAAACAGCGTTGTCCGCCATGCGCAACATCCGAGTTAACACGTCCGCACAGCACAATAACTCAGCGGACAAAACATTCACCCTAAAACATAAAGCCTTTATACGACTTTCGCTAACTTAATATGTACAGCTAATCTGGTGATAATGTCTGTGACAGCCTGCTAGGAGATTGCTAAGGTTAACTAGCTGGCTTTCCTGACGTCATTTTAATGCGTATCTTACATTCTTTGTGCTTCTTTTCAAGGTGTCTATAAAAGTTGGTCGTAGTGCCTACCGTCTCTGACAGTGAAACACTGCAGACCTTACATAGCGCCGTATGCTTTGTGTTTTAAATGACCGAATTTTATAACTGATGATTTGGCAGACATCTTGCCTCGTGGCTTTCAGTTGAGGCGCAAGGAGGTCACAAAAAACCTGCATTTACCAATGAGACACGATCGTGCTTGGGTTTGAATCGGTACGTTTTGCATCCAATGCAACGAAGGATCTTAAAGAGACAGATGATATTCTGACAATTTAAGGTTATTTCCACAGTTGAGGTCTTGAAATGAAATCCCGAGTACTCAAATGTCCGAGACCATCAAAAAGTGGTGTACTGCAACACTGCAGTCCGTCTATGGAAGTCTGATTCTGGTTTTGAGGATGTGACAAAATATTACCGTCTGGTTTCAGAAAAGTTTAAAAATGATCTATTTCCTCTGAAAAACAATGGACCAAGACCAGTTGTCATTTCTTTATTCAGTCACTCTTTATAACATCTCCTGGCTGTAAAAATATGATGTCTAGTTTTTACTTTTAAAGCATGTTTTATTTGAGGGTTTTATTAATTCAAAATCATTTTTGAAGCAAAGAAACTGAAAACAGGAAGAGCTTCGTTCACATTGCTTTGTCCATGGATGAAGAGCTCATAATACATCTCATATGTTAATTCATGTGGATGCAAAATATTGGTAACATCTGCATCCACTGAAGTCTGTCATCTCATAATTTTTGCCAAGTTTGTAAACCTGTGGGTCTTTAAAACACTTTACATTTTCATGGAGCTATTTGCACATGCTAAAACATTGTTCCACCCCCTATTTATTATTGCCACAAACAGATGGGGAGAAACTTTTAGAGCATTAAATGAGGTTTATCACTAAATATGAACTAACATTAAAAACAGACACAACTGTGGTATCAGTGGAAATTATGTATTATACTGTACAAGACCAAGTGTCTCTTAAAAACAGGACAAAAACTACTGAAAAACAGAATTTATAAATAAAATATGGTGGTTTAGTCAGAACCCTTTCGATGGCTTTACCTTTCTGTTCCCATCCCACCTCAGAACAAAAGCAGGAAATAGCTCCCGTGCATATGACCACAACACGGTGATGGTCTTTTGAATCAGTGGCGATAGACCTGACCAATCTAAATAATCTGTGTTTCACTTTATGCAGGTGAAATTTTCATGAGGATTATAGCAAGCAATTAGCCTGTCCCTGTGTATGTTTGCAAACAGTAATCTGGCTTTTTAATGTTTCTTATGTAGAAACAGCTTACTCCTCACCGATTGGCCTTTCAGTCCATGTCGGTACAAGACACATTTCACTGCAAACAAATGACTTCTTTTACGTTGGTTCCTTGTGTTTCCAAATGAGATTTTTTTTTTGTTGACTTGTCATCAGCCAGCAGGCAGTGACTTGCCCCTTGTGACGTTCTCAGTCACCTTACATGGATTAATATTAGTAAATGTGTGTTACTTTCACATGACCTTCGAAGCATTGACATATGGGAGATTAGAGTATGTTGCAGTTCTCCAAAACTGTTTCTAGACACATCCACAAGAAAAGCTCAAAACATTCAAACCCGAGTGCCAGTACATTTATTTTCTCTTCTTTTGTTCAGGCTACTGAATGTCGATTTAATGACAAGGGACCAAAGAGTGATATATCCATCATTGCGAACCATTTACAACTGCATCCAACCACGGCTCCAGTTTCCCTTCCCGTTTATGAAAACCTTCCTTTCTCCTCTGGTTCAAGAAACTTACCAGCAGAGGAGCCAAGCATCGACGACGCAGACCACAGGATCTACATCACACCGCTGCCGTCTGCAGCGGCAGAAATAAACAGTGTGTCTCAGTCTGTCTCTACTGAGCCGCCTTCTAGATCGCTTTGGTTTGGATTAGATGTATCAAGAATAAATCATGTTTAGGATGGCAATACAGTACTTTTTATTAAAAAGATGTTAACAGTGCCACTGTAAGCAATACTTGCAATATTATTGTACACTATATACTTTTAATCCTGAAACCTACTAATAACTGAACCGGTATAACTAAAAAAAATAGAGAGCGGAGAAAAACTAGAAAGTGATTTAAGTTCACAGTATATTTAGGTGGTAGTCAGTAGTCATATAGAATTTTAAAGATTATATGCTAACAATGCATTTTAAGGAACAAATAGTACTTTCCATAAACACTCTGCATGCATACATGATTTATGAAAGTGAAATATTATCTACTTTGTGACCTCAGGTTAATAGCAAAAGCTGCTTATTTATAAATGCTTCATGCCTTCTAGAAACTTAAATAACTGTGGATATTTAAATGTACTGTATATACTTACACTGATGGATGTTTATATCAAGTATCAAAAATTGTACATATGTTGTCCAGGTTTGTTTTTCTTCACTGTGTAAATCATCGTCACTCTTCCCAATAAAAACGTCTTCTGTTTCAATTACTTTGCACAAACAAGCTTTGGAAATATATTTTGTTTTTTAACTTTGACTAAATAAAGTACAACGTGTTCATAAATTTATTTGTTAATTGCAGGAGCGCAACTACACACTTTCTGAGGGGTGTGCGAACACATCATCTCCCCCAGTCCAACTTTCCCATCAGAAAACAGATGGAGACGTTGTAAACGACAGCATCTGTCTGCCTGTAGTTTTAGCAACGGCAACAGGGGAAGTGTGAAGCCGTTCAGTCCTCGGTGGACCTGACATTTTTCACCGACAATCTGGAAAGCGATGGAAGTTCTCTGCCAGAAAAACTTGAGCGATCAGGCAGGACAGTGTAAGCACTCAAAGAAGACATTTTGGAAAACGTGTCCTGAGTCAGAACCTCGATTAGAGTAAGCTTCTTTTGTTGAAAATGTTGAAATGCAAGATGTTTGAATCAAGGCAAAAGAAGGTGATCAGGACGCTCCTTTAGAAAAGGAGAGTTTTCCCAAGGACACAGTGACCTCTTCACCACAATCGAAGAAACAGCCAATAAATGACAAGGAGAAAACAAAACAATGTCTCACTTTTTCTGAACCAGACAACATCCAGGTATGCTTCTAAATTAGGTTTCAGAAAGAGCAATACCCGAAAGAAATCAGAACAGATACCAAGACTTTATTTTAACTTAAGGAGGTGCTTAGAACAAATGCATCTAACAAAGCACCTGTCTCTATTGCACAGAATAAACTGCTACTTTAACACAACATTAGCTTTAGCGTACCAAAAGCCTCAAAGGTTTCTCTTTGGTTTAGCTCTATGTGAAAGAGGAAGGCGTTTTTGACCAGGACGTGAAAAGCACCTGACTCAAGCAGAAGATTTTTGCCTCCTGGTTGGTGTGGACGTGTGACAGTGAGTGTGGGAATTGATGCCAAACTGGAAATGTTGGGAGAAATGGGGATCTCATGGAGAACATCTCTAGTTCTAGTCACCTTCATTACTTTTCTACAAATACAAGGTAAGCATTTTCCTCTCCAGTCATAATTTCCAACACTGATTTAACATCCTGCTGATAGCGTTGCTCACTTGACTGCTCTGATTAATTTATATCGGATACTCATTAAAACGATCTGTTTTTTTCCAGCTCTGACTTGTGACAAACCCGCAGTTGTTTCTGGCACTGAGGGTCAAACGTTTGACTTCATATGCGAGTATCCAAGTGACAGGAAAAACAACACGAAACACTTCTGCTGTTTAGAGATCGAAGAGTCCTTCGCTCAGGTCGTACAAACTTCCAAACACGACGAGTGGACAAGTGAAGGACGTGTCTCTCTTTACGACAACACTACAGCGGGCTACGTTATCGTTAGGTTTGACAAACTGTATTTAAACGACAGCGGAAAGTACTATTGTGGTGATTTTGAGAGCAATGATCGCATCACGAAGATACATCTGAATGTCTCCCAAGGTAAAGTCGAAAGCACTGAATCACAACAGAATATTGAACCTTACATTGTGCTGATTTCAGATTATAACTCAACATTTAATGTGTTTTTTTTTTTTTGTCAGAAATTATTGCCCTGCAACATACAACATGCAAATTCTGCTCGTACATTTCACCAGCTAATGTGAGAATAATTCGCTGTTGACCTGCTGTGGTTCAGAAATGACAGGTCACACAAGCCATAAATGAGAACAGGGTATAATTAGTTTTCCATTTCATCTTCTCCTTTTCAGAAGTTTCAATTTCTGTAGCAAAAGGCCCGCAAGACCACGTCGACATGGAAATGAGAACAATTATATTTTACTTTGTAAAAAAAGAATAGAAAAAGGTGGCAAACGAAATGCTTCATTTATTATTCACTCAGTGCTGATAATGCTTACAATATAAAGAACAAGGGACATAGTTTCAAAAGAATTGGATTTTTGGCTTTCAATATGCATAACGCTGGCAGAGACAAACCCAAATATAACTTTGATGCCTGTGTTGGTCTAATTCGTAAAATCCGACTGACGCACATGGAGGTTTGTGGTCGGAAGGTGACAAAATACGAAGGAAGTCAAGTTAGATGAATTGTTCTAAATAAGCCAAAAACAATCTCCTGGTGCTGTTTTATTACAGTTTCTGCATGAAAACAACAAGGGTACATTTGATATTTTAAAATATTAATAACTCATTGACTTTTAAATTTCAGACAACTCCCTGAGTTTATGGAGCTTTTGGCCGATACACGTCAAATAAACGTCCCTGAACATTGTTTTGTGTAAAATTCAAGTGGAAATGAGATACAGTCAATTTATTTATAAGCTGCTCCTCTGTGCTTAGAGCTACAGTATGTCACTTTTATAAAGAAAATGTTTTTTTTACATGTTCGACAGTTTGTTATGAGACAGATAATGTGTGGAAAGATCAATCTCCTCCGCCTCCGCGCCGAGCTGCTGTTACCATCTAAATGCACCGCTCTGATTCAAAACAACACGGCAAATCCAGCAGGCCCAAATCCACTCTGTCAGATTTGATTTCAGCACTTTCACAGTGTCTGTATGGGAACCACAAAAGAGAGTGTTAATTTAACTGTTTTTGGAGATTAAATTAAGTGTCAAATACCAACTCCGTGTGGAGACAGGGCCTCTCTGCACTCCTCCAAAGGGCTGTCCACTCACTAACGAAGGTTGTCTCGGGGTTGTTGGGCTTTTGGTGAAGTTGGGCCGGGGTACACCAACGCACTCCTCGTTGGTACTGCACTGGACAGTGTCGAGTCACCAAGTGAGATAGCCAGCGTTGGTCTCTGGGTAACGAACAGAGACCAACTCTGGGTAACGAACAAAAAAAACATGAAAATGAAAAATGGACCAAAGGAGTGCATGTTTACAACAACCCTAACAACAAGCCTCAATTACAGAAATGTGGAGTTTCAGATATATTGACACTTACAAAAGCATTTTTGGAGTTTGAATCTTGGAAGAAGGTTGAGGGGACAAGAGGGGTTTGATGCTGACGATTCATCCTCAAGCAAACCCGGTGCTTATGTGCAAAAAAAAGGCAATAAAGGATTAAAACATGCAGCAAAATGCACAACAACTGGAATAGTGACAACATAAATTATGTCTGGGATATCAGTGCATAATTTGCTTTCAATATAAAAAATAAAAAAGCCTTTTACAGGTTTTCAAAGAAACAAAAAAAGAAACGAGGATCAGAAAGGCTGTAGATATTATTTTATTTATTTTAATTTTTTTTACATATTTGCTGAAACTGTTCTGTGTCGAAGTATATGAGAAAAAGACAATCTGTGAAATAATTGATCTCTGCCTATATCTATATATTTTTTAATTTACTTTTTTTTTTTAAAGTTGTATAATTCAGCTTCAATACACTGTCATATTTTCCAGTGCATAAAATCCCGGCCTCCACCATGGCTGCACCAGTTCACAGTGAGTGTTGCTCTTTGACCCCACAGTATTATTTAGTAATACTTTTGATGTGATTTCATATTCTCTTCCATTTAATACATCACTTTAATTCATTCCTATAAACTTTGGTTAGTGTTTTGCTGTTTTAAAGTTGTTGTATGGAATAATGATTATTTGTTCATTGTCGTACAGCGATCACCATGCAGCTGGCTCTGACCATTATATTGTGCATTGGAGCGATGATCTTTGTGTGTCTGTTCACAATCTGTCTTCTTCTGGCTGCGAGGCACAGGAGATCCACCCCTCGCCAGAAAAGAGAGGTTAGTTTGCTCCTTTTAACTATTGTAGCCTTTGAACTTTGACATTTTAATCCTCTTCTGAACTTCATGTTTTTGCTGTCTGAAGCACTGCTGACAGTGAAATATGACCGCGCCGCCTTCTGCCTTTCAAACTTGTCAATTTTTTTTTTTGTGGAAATGAAAAGACGTTTATTTATGTTATTTGAGTGAGAACCAACTCAGAGTTGAAGGAGGATTGGAAAAAAATATGGCACTTATTTCTAATATTTAGTGTAAAATATACGAGAACAAAAAAAATCCTAAATTTTCCAGTATGCAGGAATGAGTCAGATATTTGGGGATCAAGTTATGGGAGTTTTTTTCATTGGCTTTCGTTTACATTTTTTGAACATGTATGTAATCTACAGTCCACAAGGAGGCACTGCAGCATCCTCAGCATGCACTGCAGCATTGTGCAACTCAGCACATCCTGTTGCAGTTTTTGTCACGTTTTTTTCGGACAACGGTCATCAGGTTCTTCATATTAGGCATGGTCAAGCTGCCACAAGAGCTGCTGTCTCCAGTGTCAGACAGTTCTGTTTCCTGTATATTAAAAATAGTTTTTTGTAAGTCTCTTGGTTGCTTATTTCATCACTCTGAACTTCCACAACCACATATGACTTCATGTCCTTTCCGGTCAGCACACCTGATGCTTTTAGATGTTTTAAATACAAGATGCAAACTGAGTGTTTACTATTCTTATCTCCTTGTAGTTGGGTATTACAGATTCAGATAAAAGTATAGAATCACTATCTGCCACCTTTCGCGAACATTTCATTGATCTTTTAATGTAAAAATCTCATCTAATCTGACGTCGCTGATTTGTCCTCCCTGTAGACGTCGTCTGACTATGAGACGATGATGCCCTCGGCGGGAGCGGCACCGGAGCCCTGCGGGTGTTCGCATCCGGAGTGCGTTGACCTCTCCACTTTACCTCGGCCACCTTCTGACCTCTACTCCTGCTTCACAGAGGAGCATCGAGAGTCCATCATCTCTTGCAGCCTCGGTGAATACATCGATGTAGACGTACCGGGACATATCTGCCAGTACCAGCTTCTGGACCGGAGCCGACTAGAAAACCATGTTTACCACAGTCTTCACGGTCGCTGCAGCCACAAACAAGCTCCAAAAGAGGAGATTGTCCATTGATAGATTATTCCAGGAACAGTGTGTGGGTTATTGGTATTAAGTTATACCAATCTGTAAAAAGTGACAGACTCTTCTCAGTTTTATAGTTTGAAGCTCCTTCTACCTGCACGCTGTTGTCCTACTTGCTGAAAGAAAGTCATCAATTTGTTGTGAAAATGTGCAAAATGACGGTCGTATTAAGGTATATTCCCCTACTTGGATGCAAAATCAACTTATCTGACAGTATGGACAAATTATACATTTTTTTCTTTCATAAAATATAAGAAAGCACTGTGAAAAAAGTTTTATAAATGATTTTCATCATTTTGATGAGTCAACAACGGTCATGTCACGTTCAGTGAAATGTGACAGATTTCTGTCGGCTGTTTGATAAACGAAGAAGGTAAAGATCAGAATTATTGCATCTTATTAAAGGTGTTTGCACAGTTGAAAGCGACTTTAATCAGATTAAAAAGTGCACATATGTGTTCTCTCCAAGGATGTTAAGCATAATGTGAGCTGTCCCTCTCCCACTTATTGCTGCACACTACCAGTCTGTTAAACTGCCACAAAGAACGTCTGTTTGGAAATATTTCTAGAATCGAGAAAACACGATGAGTCATGGTCTGAAGCTGGAGAATCATCCATCACGGTGTTTTTAAAAGATCACATGCTATCAGCAAGTTAATACACTGAAGAAAAAAAAAATCAAAATATTTTTGTACAGGTTTCTAATGCTAATATCTTAGAAGATCTAAAGCAGAACAAAACTAACTTACAAGTTCCATTTCTAATACACAGGATGAGATTTACAAACGATTTTTTTAAGTCAACAACTTCATGACATTTATGAAAAGGTGCTTTTTCCACTGGCAGATAATTTCACTGATATGGTAAAAATGTTTTGTCAAACTGCAAGTTAGTTTGGTCTCAGTTCAAGTGTACTAGGATTTTATGCACTGGGATCTACATTTTATGTTTGTGTTTTCGCAGTGCATCGCCTTGATAGTTGTGCTATTTGAAGGACAGGACTGCATGGCAGTTCATCATTTGAAACAGTAAACACTTGAAATCCAACATTAACTTTCATCTGTGTTTACTTTAGATTTTTGCTTGAGTTGCAAGAAATACAAGGATTGTAATTATCAATATAAGTTAGCTGTGCTTGCTACTTGTTTTGTTTTAAATAAAAGCAATCACATCACGCTAGACTATTTTGTTGAAGTTCTTCTCCAAGTGTCGTGAAAGTGTGACACTTTTAGGTACCATGCCAGTGCCTCAATGGCACAAATAAAAGATTAGTGACTGAGCCTGACACTTTACATGCATCGCCTGATTGGTTTATTTTACATATTGTTCTCATTAGAGTAGATCAGTCGTCCAGGACATTCTGATGTGGTCAAACAGAAGGTACCTGGACTTTTTCTCTTGTTTCTTGAAGATGTTTCTTCTTTCAAAGGCTAATTTGGTTCTGACTTTGGGTTAGAAATGTCAGGGCTTGTAATTTACAGGAAGAAAACAATGATGCTAACAGGGATGTAAAAGTCACTATTAAGCTCACATTGGTATCTGCGGCATCTGCTTTTTCTCTGTATTTGGTTTGTTTGTGTACACAGGGATGAATGGTTCCTCCTGGCTCTGATTGGTTGAAAAAAAACTACATTTTAAGCACCTAAAGTTGGCTCTAAAGAGAAAAATAATGAGAAAAAAAAATCTTAAATTTGTTTCTTGGTTAGTTTTGGTTTTGGGAATGAAATTTCAAAATGAATAAATGTAGAAAATCACTTTTTGTTTGAAATACAATCATAAGGTTTATGGAGCTTACCTACAAGAGAGAAGGCCATTTCTGGCAGAGGTGAAACTGTAACAGGGAAGGAAACTGAGGTTGAAGATATAATCTATGCCCAACAAACAGCAAAAGCTGTTTTTTTTTTTTTTTGTCACACAGGCGACTGATCGTGTTGTGAAACAGTCAGCAGTTCACTGCAGCCAGGCTCTGTAAGCAAACAGGACACACTGCTTCCTCCTGTGTGTGTGTCTCCACAGCTTAACGCACATCTACAACTTTGCAAATCTACAAAATATTTGGTATTTTACCTATTTCTAGTGATGACTTGTTTAAGTTTACCAAACACTTGAGTTAGAGTACCAGAGGTAGTTCCTTCTATCATGTAAATGAGCTAAAGAAAGAGAAATGAGAGAAACAAAGGAAGGTCTTCATTTTTAAACAGAAAATTGGTCAGAAGTGGGGAAGTGCAACGACAGCAGGGAACTTATGTAAAAATAAAAGCAGATGCAGACAGATTTCCTCAATCTAGACGTCTGGCTTAAGAAAACCGACAACAACCATGAAGAGGAGTTTGGTTCTTGCTGTTGTCCTCGTTCTGGAAGGTAAACTCACTAAGATTTAGTAATTCGTCCCTTTTGAGTGTCTTCCTCTCTTGCCATCTTTAGTGGTTGAACATTTCTCGACAGTCTTTTGGAAACTCACTTCATGGAGTCTCCCTTAGTTCTTCTAGAGGTGGAAAACAACACTGAGGGCTTTAATAAAAAACATAAATGAATATGTTTCACAAACGCACCATCCACTTATCCTTCTGTCAAGTTTGTCGGGCTTTACAGAAAAACGCAGGAGTGCTTTGAAGCTGTTCTTGTGTGTACACTGCAAAACATTTGAGCTGCTTTTAGTTGTGTCCACTGTCTTCTTCTACCAAGTCAAACAAATTTAGCGAGTTTTAGATTTCGGACCTAAATATGTGAGTTTGTGAAAGATAAACTTACAGTGGTAAGTTATGTTAAAAGTTTTATTAATTTCGTCAAACCTTGAAGAGTTTTTGGGTAAAAAAAAAAAACTGAAAGCAGAAAAAGAGAGGAGTGAGAATTACTTCCCAGAATAGCGGTGTGTTTTTGCAATCTGAGGTGGAAGTGTGTTACATTCATCTGACTCTTGCATTTTATTACAGCAAACGTTTATTTTAGTGCAAAGCTTAAGGATAATGTTCCATTCACACTGAATGTTCTTGAGCACAATTCATTATAATGTTTAACAAATCTCATCATCAGAGCAGAAATTTTGTTCATGCAATTTGAAACAAGAATTTTAATTATCCTACAGTAAAATAAATAGTCATTTTAACTTGATATTGTGAGTAGGAGGGATTTTTAAGAGTCTTTTTCTTGCATATTGTGAAATGACTATTTGGCTTAAATTGCAGCATTAAGTTAAAACTCACCAGTCAAGATTAATAAACTTTAAAAAAAACAAAAACAATGTTTAGATAACTTGTCTTTTGTTGTTAAATCAACTTCATGAACTATAATTTCTGAGTTAAAACCAATAAAATGTTCCTGTTGTCTTGAATTGCATTTTCAAGGCAGCAGGTGGACTTTCATTTTCAAGTTAAACCAGCTTCAAATGTTTTACAGTGTAGATATCTCTTTAATGTCGCAGTTTGCGGCAGTGAAAAGATAAACCCAACATAAAAGATAAAAATACAACATCTTACACTTTTTTACCGCTGAAAATGACTCAATTTCAGGTTTTTGCTTATCTGCTGCTGAGATGCACTTATGCACTCCTTATCTGTTGGTGGCGCTCGCAAAAACGTGTAAAAAAAAAACAACCCTAAAGATAAATAAGCCTTGGACTGCGGTACCATAATCTCACAGTGGAAAATGCTGCTGTTCCTCGACGGTGACCTCTGAGGACTTTGTTTACCTTCTTTATCATGGCAAAATTAACTTACGACCCGGTCGACTTTTGATGTGCATCATTTTGAAATATTGGTTTTAGGAACTACAAACTACTTTGTGTAACGATTCAGGCTTTCACCCATTCACACACACATTCACTCACTAATGGTGGAGAGCTTCTGGACGGTAGCCACGGCTGCCAGAGGTCACACTGCCCACCACCAGCAGACAACAACTGAGTGTACAAACTTAAATTTACTGTGAGTTGCCTGCTTTTTACAACAAAGTTCAAAAGTATTCATACACCAAGAGTAATATCTGATTAACTGTAAACACGTCACACCTTGTCTGGATGCTTTTTGCCGTTTGTCTTCTGGACAAAAGGCCAGTAACACTCAAACTGAAGGCACAACAGTAAAAGTAAGAAATGATGCAATGATGTAACACTTCAGCATGAACTGCAAAACCTGGTTCATTTGAGAGGATTTTGGAAATGAGTGCAACCAACTAAGATCAGTTTTGGTCAAAGCGATTTTGTCATGGCAAACGCAACATGTCTGCCAGCGAGGTTAGCAGTGGGCACAGTGGTCAACCTGTCTGACACTCTTGACAACTGGAAATTTATACATAAAATGCTAACAATTCCTTTAAATTCTTCACTTACGTTTATTTTTGATGATTAATGACTTGTGCCCGTGATTGTGTTACCAGAGAAAAACAAACAACAGCCCCCCAAAGCCGATGCTATCTCCAACGTGTTTTTTCCTAAATATTTTCAATATAGTTGGATTTCGCTGCTGTCACAAAAGACAAAACCTATTTAAGGCTTTGATCTTTGCTACGGGCGGCACTATGTGTTTCTGGTATTAATCTGCGAAATTCATAAATGTCACACTTGGAGGATTTTTTGTTGTTGTTGTCAAAAGTCTGTTCAGAAATTGGCTTTATGTGTTTCTGTTTTCTTCTGTCCAGGGGTCTTTCGGACTGAAGCCACGTCAGTAACAGGACGTCAGGGGGGATCAGTCAAAATAACATGCTCTCATTCTTATGCCACCACCAATGTCAAATATTTCTGCAAAGGAGCGTGCGGTGACGCAGACGTCCTGATAAAAAGCATTCGCATGCAGCATGACGGGAAGTACCATATAGAAGATAACGGAAACACATTCTACGTAACAATATCAAACCTGCAAAAGAGCGATGAAGGAGTTTACTGGTGTGGCATTGAGAGAGCTGGAGTGGACACGTACAGCCAAGTGACCCTCACTGTAGAGGAAGGTGAGCAAAGTTGTTCCTGTAGAAGAAGTAACAGTGATGACACTTCTTGTCAAAATAAAAATATTAGCACGGTTTCCTTTTGCTGATGAGGAAGCTTCTTGTTTCGTCTCGAAAGCATGTGACTCAATCTGGAGCATGAAAACCTGTGAAAGTTTTCCTTTTGCCTTCTTCAATAGAGAAACCAGGAAACGGCCTGAGGATGCCGGGTTCCAGTAAGCATTTCTGTTTTAGTGCCTTATTGATGAGAAAATTTGTTCTTATCAGTCTACCATTGCTGAGCTTTTTTTAAATCCTAGTTTGTTTGTTTTTTTTTCCAGATCAGATGGTGTATCTTGGAACAGGTCTGGGTGTGGCGGTGCTGGCTCTGGCGACCGTCCTGCTGTTGTTCTTCAGACTCAGAAAAAGAGACGTCAGCACGTCTACAGGTGCAAGACACACTCACTGAAACACACTTTCAAGGTTGCATAAAACACACAGGACAAAAGAAACCTGCCCATCACAAACCTACCGGTGCATTTAAACATATGTCGATCACAAGTAAAGCTGGCAATATTTAACAAGTTTTCATTCAAATTTTTCAACATTTTCTTTCTTAAGTGATTAAAAACATTGACATGATCACGACTTTGAAAGCAACCACTCTGTACCTACTAACATTTTCTTTTGTTGCCTATAATGGAAAAACAAATACAACTGAGTATTGGGGACACGCTACAAAAAACTAAGAAATAAATGAGAATAAAGTCAAGAATTTTATAAAGTCAGAATATTATCAGTTCATTCTTGTGATTTCTTATTTTTTATTGTCTTAGCATGGCCCTAATACTCCACCGTATTCAAATATCTAAATATTTGTGAATATTTTGTAATAGAAAGAAGTAGAGACACAAATGTAGTGTATGAAAGTTGTCTGGTTCGCAGAATGATTCAGAACTTCTTTGTGTTTCCTCACTTTGTTCAGGAAAAAATGATGTTATATATTCAAAGTCCTCAATCCAGAAGAAATCCCAACATGCCAACGCCGCTTCATCAGTCACTGGGCAGCAAGGGGCAGATTTCAGGGTCAACGCGGATCAGCCGGAGGTTCTGTACTCCAACATCCGTTCAGAACCTGAGATCCAGTCAGATGACCTCTGTTATTCCACCCTCAGCTTCAGCGAACACCCAGCATGCAGCGCTGCATCTCCTCAAACCGAACTAACCACGTACTCATCTGTTAAATTCAAATCCAAATCTGACGGCTGAACAGCTTCAGTTCAGACAAATATCATTTGTTTACATCTTTGACTGAGAAAATGACATCTGGCGATTACGGCAAATGTTTTTAAGTTTATTCTTGTGTCCTATAAATCAGAATATGTATTTCACAGAGGCTCAGTTGTCAGCTGTTTTTCTTTTGTTTTGTTGTTTTTTTAAATTATCATTGTAAATAATTTCAAACGCTCAGCACAAAAAGATTTTAAAAATATGGAACACTTTTATTCAGCTTCAGACTCATTTTTTTTCTTCCTATTACCTTTGAGTACTTTGTAGTTTTCTTTTTTAATCTTCCTCTTAAAGCAATCTATATTTCAAATGTGATACCAAAGCAACATCTTTTCACACCAGGACATTTTTCCTCCAAGTTAAAAATGGTTAACATGCATATAGATATGTAAACTTTCTTAATCAGGACAAAACCATTAAGTAGTGGATAACTCAGCAGTCCTTGCACTTTATTTTACTGAATAAAGTGTGTGTTAATTTGTGTCGATCTGTTACATAAAATATCAATAAAATAAAGTGAAGCTTGTGGTTCGTAATTGACAAAATGTGAAAAAGTTCAAGGAGTTTGAAAAGCCATTTAGAAACATGACGAGGTGTTGCATTAAAATCAAATTCCTGCTGATGCTGCCCTTATTAACACATCACTCTATTAATAAAGATAAATAAAGACTCAACAGTAAAGTTTTATGAATTCCAAAAGCTGTAAGTATATAGGTATATATATATTTAAATATATATATATACACCTATATATATATCTATACATATATGATCCCACTTTGTGGTAAAGTTCATAAAATAAATAGACTTTTCAGTAATATTTAAATTTAGCTGAGAATGAATCTCATGATTTGATGTTTGTATATATTCTTAGTGAAGTTCGACTGAGTTTGAGCAATTTCACCAAACGGTTTAGAGACGTACAACAATATACTTACAGCTGAAGCTGATAGAAAGGAAGGCTGAATACAAATCTAGATTACACTATACAGATCTCCATTTGTTTGAAAATGTTTTATTTTCTACTTCACAGTCGTGCAGTTTTTCATCTTTGTCACATAACATCCCAACAATTAAAAGTTGCAGCATAACAAAACGTGATCCAGGGACTCTGATATGGCTCATCTGAAAAATGCCTTTGTCTGGACTTATGTGGTAATAAAAACTGGGACTGGATTCGTTCATCCATGCAAAAATAATATCCTTCACTTCAAATTGCAGTAATATGAAAGCCTAACTTCAGCAAAGTAGGCTTTGAGTCAAGATTAAAATATGTTTCTTATTATAGCCTGAGATTTGAATATTCCACTTTTACCTCCGGGTGTAATATGTTAAAATAATGTGCCCCATGACATGAAATAGCTGGTGTTCTAATTATTTTTGATCCACAGATAAGTCGTACACTGCAGACATTGTTCAGGGAAGCAGAGCCATGTTTTTGTCACATGAAGCAGGAGGAGGTTCACTCTGCATATGAATCAGGTTCCAGCTTTCTCTTCTGCATTTCTTCTCCTCCTCACGTCGGAGGCAGATGCTCTAACAGATGACATGCAAATGCACCAAGTCCTAAATAAGAAGGGAGAAGCTGAAACCATAATTTAAAAAACAAAACAAAAAAAGATCCGAAATGATCACAGCTCTGACTTCCTGAGGAGAAGTTTGAGGCCAATATTAGATTCAGTTCAAACAGTCTTGAACTCCACAATGAGGAAATATTTTATAACTATTGTCTGGCTGCTGACAGGTAAGAGCAGTTTTTTTTTTTTGCATGTTATAGAGAGATTTGGGACTTAGACAGGTAAAGTGTGTGAAAATGAAATTATTTTTATTAAATCTGTTCATGACAGTCAGTGGAAGTTTACCTTCAGAAGTGGAGCATGATGGAGCTCCCCTCACCATTCCTTGTAAGTACACTGGTAGTAAAACATACTTTGAAATGTCTCTACAAATGGTATCAGCAGCAAAACAGAAACTAAGAAGAAACAACGTACTTAAGAATACGACTATGCTACATTTATTAACTATTAAATATGTTTTCTTCATTTTAGTGCTTTTATTTTGGCAACAGTAGAAAAATGATGCGGTAGCGCAAACTTACTGTTACTGAACAGAACAAAATAAATCTAGACAGATTTAAACACAGTAATGCATTTTACTCAGACACATTGAGAATAATTAGCAGTCTCATTTTGAATCATCAGGGGTTTCTAAATGTTAACAGTCAGCTTTGAAACAAACCAAAACGTGCCTTCAATAAACATAAACAATCGTGATTGTACTCGCTCATTCTCCCAAAGGCAGCAATGCACCAGTGGGCCAAACAGCATACACTGGAGATTCTGTTTCCTTCACCTGCAAATATCCACAAGCCGATCAAAACAGCATCAGACTCTTCTGCAGACGCGATGGAAACTTCAGCTGCACCAACAGAATTTCAGCGCAGCTTTCAAACTACACCAAACTGGCAACGAGTTCCCTCAGCGACGACAAGCAGGACGAATTGTACAAGGTGACCATCCCCATGGTGACTCATCAGGATTCGGGCAAATACTGGTGTGCCTTGAAAGAAGATGATTTCATCGCTTGTTTACAGGAAGTCGACCTCCGTGTTCTGAGTGAGTACTGATCTAAATTAGTGAATCTGATGCGCCCTTATAAAAACATAGTGCAAAGAGTTACTCTGAAGTTATGAGATCTGAAAAATCTCCAAATGACATTAGACTGATAGTAATGTCTCACGTTGAAATGGCGTTCAGCAGTTCATCCTCCAACACTTGGCTTCATGTGGTTGAAAAAGCTTTAAAACCTTTCAAACAGGCCGCATAAAATACTCACAGCTTCAACGTTTGTTGTAAAGCCTCCATGTGAAGTCTTGCTTTCTGCAGGCATTTTTGCGTAGTGAAGCTTGCTGCCATGCCAGCATAACGTTGATGTGTTCTCCCTGTCTTTTGATATGGCTTGTTGATAGTTTGGCTTGTAACATAATTTCAATGAGGGTCCAGTTACTTTAAGCATAGATAAAACTAACAAAAAAGTCCACTTCATAAATTTGGTGCATGTCACACATCACAGACAGGTCGCTTGCAAACACAGCCTCCTTTTCACTGTTAATGTAAAGGGTAAAAAAAAATAAAAATACTTAAAACCCCTTGAAACCAGAGATGTTTGCTTTAGAGCTGTTACATTGTTCTTCACATATTTACTTCTATGAGTTGAGTTTATTTTTAAGATAACTTTTTATGTCAAGTAATGCTTCCTATGCTTTTTGTCACTTGTTCCTGTTCAGACCCAGTTACCGTCCAGACCTTTCCCGAAAAGGAAGAGCCACCACGACCACAACCACAACAACAACCACTAGTGAAGACTAGGTCCAAGAGGGATTCTGAATGTGGTTCTCATTGTCGTAAGAAACACCTGCTATTTGTTTCCATCCTTACATATAAATCTCTCTTCTATCATAACACTTTAATGGTTTATGCATACGTCTTATAAATTAGGAAACTTGCATAATTCAAGATAGTATTTTAATGGAGTGAAAATAGTATTACAACATTACAAACATAAATAAGAATATGCATTTTATAAATTATATTTTTAAAAATCAATAAAAACATTTTATTGATTTTAAAATCAATAAAATTAATTTGATTTATTTTGGGCCCTACTTTTAAGCTATGGGGCACATTTAATCAACACTATAGCAAGAATATATATTTTCATTACTATATGGAATGAAACTGCAAAGGCCGTCTTTTATGTTGCACATTGACATAAAAGCTTCATCAATGAAATGAAATGAATGTTTTTCCAGCTTGTCAAAGCTGCTGCCTCGAATGGTGGAAAGTTGTCGCGTTTCCATATTGTTTTTTGCAAATTAAAAGCTCATTATTAGTAAATTCAAACTATGAGTTCTAAGTTGATATTATAAGGATAACTGAAAGGGCCACACTGAGAAAAATCCCACCAGAAAATGTGAATAACGTCAGTGTTTTTGTCCATTCTTCATAGTACACATAATTTTTGCAACGTATTCCAAAACTGCCTGCACTGCCACTGCACTGGTGTGTTTGTTAGTAATTGAGGAGATAAAAGTAGGATAAGATATCTATGCGTGGCAAACCATTTTAGAAAAACCTAAATAGACTAGATGAGGTTGTAAATATCATCTTTCTTTCTGTTTGTTTGCACTGTAACTCTATGTCTGTTATTTGTGATTATCTTGTTTAGACTCAGGAATACCACCAGGTAAAGAAGGAGTTATCATCATACTATTAAACTTTTCTATTGCCTTCATCTGCGCCATATTAAAGAAATAATCACAAATGTCTGCCCTTTGGGATTATTTCTTCAAGTGAAGGTAAAAACCTAGAACCACCACCAGATTATAACTGGTGGGATTGTTGCGTTTTATTTTATTGTTCGTCTATTTTACAAGCACAGACCACATGTGGCAAATTTCCAGAATAACAAAAACTGCACAAAAGAAAACACAAGACAGAATAAAAAGAAACACGGCTGTGGTCTTTGGCTGCACATGCAACATCTATTGGCGTGTTCCACCAATAGAATGTGTGAAATTGTTGCATGAATTATTATATCAGCACGTCCATCGCACAGTAACGGGCTCTTTGCACGTTCGACGATGACCTCACATCCGCTTGAGCGAAATGTGGCTTTCCTGCTTCCGCTATGAGTCACCATGACAATTAAAAAAGACAAAGTCCTATTTCAGGAGCAAATAAAGCAATTAATGAACACTGTTATCTTCCAAATATAATGGGCTTTTAAGTCTCCAAGCTTGAATTAAAAAGGCGTGGCTTGTAAATATTGGTCGCTACCAGTTAAAGCTAACGCCGCACAGCAAAGTTTGCAGCCTCCATTCTTCAGTCTAAAACAACCGGAGGGAGACGGATGGTAAATAAAGGAGCCGTCCCTGTGTTATAATTGTGTTATAACTTCTGAATGCAGAATCACTTCTGTATTCAGCCTGAAAGAACGAGTTTATGGGAACGAGAGAGCAGAGCCAGACAGCCTTCACAAGAAGCATGCAAAAGTAGTAAAACTAAACAACACGGAGACCTTAAGGAACACGGCCATATTTTTCTAAGAGCAACAACTTTGAAGCTGAACATTCGGCTGAACTTGAACTCTGACACCAGAGCTGCCCTACTGTTGAGCTTTGGGGGTTGAGTTTCCTCGTGATTCAGAAGCAAAACGCCCAAACCGTAATCTACTCCATATGTTTGTCACAAACGACAACAAACACACATAATATGCTTCAAAATAAATACAAAATAAAGTAAAAACATTGTCCCATAGAATGAATAAAATATGTTTATATACTTAAATAGCACATTTTTACAAGAAAAATGTCTGAGAATATTGCCAACCTAAATAGACTAGATGACATTGTAAATATCATCTTTGTTTCTGTTTGTTTGCACTGTAACTCTATGCCTGTTATTTGTCGTCATTTTGTTTAGATAATACCACAACATCCTCTGGGGGATCATCAGGTAAAGTTTTCTACAAAAACTTTTATAAAATGTTAGTTTGCGCTCTAACTGTGTTATTTTGTAGTCATCTTGTTTATATGGTGATGAAGGACTACCAACAGGTAAAGAAGGAGTTATCATCATCCTATAAAACTTTTCTATTGCCTTCATCTGCAAACATTTAAAAAAAATTTTGTAGAAAGATGTCCTTCTTTACCTGGTGTTTTAAGCAATAAAACACCAGGTAAAGAAGGACATCTTTCTACAAAAACGTTTTAAAAATGCTTGTTTGCGCTCTAACTGTGTTATTTTGTGGTTATATATTTTGCATGGTGAAGGTAAAAACCTAGAACCACCACCAGATTATAACTGGTGGGATTGTTGCGTTTTATTTTATTGTGTCTATTTTACAAGCACAGACCACATGTGGCAAATTTCCAGAATAACAAAAACTGCACAAAAGAAAACACAAGACAGAATAAAAAGAAACACGGCTGTGGTCTTTGGCTGCACATGCAACATCTATTGGCGTGTTCCACCAATAGAATGTGTGAAATTGTTGCATGAATTATTATATCAGCACGTCCATCGCACAGTAACGGGCTCTTTGCACGTTCGGCGATGACCTCACATCTGCTTGAGCGAAATGTGGCTTTCCTGCTTCCGCTATGAGTCACCATGACAATTAAAAAAGACAAAGTCCTATTTCAGGAGCAAATAAAGCAATTAATGAACACTGTTATCTTCCAAATATAATGGGCTTTTAAGTCTCCAAGCTTGAATTAAAAAGGCGGTGGCTTGTAAATATTGGTCACTACCAGTTAAAGCTAACGCCGCACAGCAAAGTTTGCAGCCTCCACTTCTTCAGTCTAAAACAACCGGAGGGAGACGGATGGTAAATAAAGGAGCCGTCCCTGTGTTATAATTGTGTTATAACTTCTGAATGCAGAATCACTTCTGTATTCAGCCTGAAAGAACGAGTTTATGGGAACGAGAGAGCAGAGCCAGACAGCCTTCACAAGAAGCATGCAAAAGTAGTAAAACTAAACAACACGGAGACCTTAAGGAACACGGCCATATTTTTTCTAAGAGCAACAACTTTGAAGCTGAACATTCGGCTGAACTTGAACTCTGACACCAGAGCTGCCCTACTGTTGAGCTGTGGGGTTGTTGAGTTTCCTCGTGATTCAGAAGCAAAACGCCCAAACCGTAATCTACTCCATATGTTTGTCACAAACGACAACAAACACACATAAAATGCTTCAAAATAAATACAAAATAAAGTAAAAACATTGTCCCATAGAATGAATAAAATATGTTTATATACTTAAATAGCACATTTTTACAAGAAAAATGTCTGAGAATATTGCCAACCTAAATAGACTAGATGACATTGTAAATATCATCTTTGTTTCTGTTTGATTGCACTGTAACTCTATGCCTGTTATTTGTGGTCATTTTGTTTAGATAGTACCACAACATCCTCTGGGGGATCATCAGGTAAAGTTTTCTACAAAAACTTTTATAAAATGTTAGTTTGCGCTCTAACTGTGTTATTTTGTGGTCATCTTGTTTAGATGGTGATAAAGGAAACCCAAAACCATCACCAGGTAAAGAAGGAGTTATCATCATCCTATAAAACTTTTCTATTGCCTTCATCTGCAAACATTTAAAAAAAATTTTGTAGAAAGATGTCCTTCTTTACCTGGTGTTTTAAGCAATAAAACACCAGGTAAAGAAGGACATCTTTCTACAAAAACGTTTTAAAATGCTTGTTTGCGCTCTAACTGTGTTATTTTGTGGTTAAATATTTTGCATGGTGAAGGTAAAAACTTAGAACCACCACCAGATTATAACTGGTGGGATTGTTGCGTTTTATTTTATTGTTCGTCTATTTTACAAGCACAGACCACATGTGGCAAATTTCCAGAATAACAAAAACTGCACAAAAGAAAACACAAGACAGAATAAAAAGAAACACGGCTGTGGTCTTTGGCTGCACATGCAACATCTATTGGCGTGTTCCACCAATAGAATGTGTGAAATTGTTGCATGAATTATTATATCAGCACGTCCATCGCACAGTAACGGGCTCTTTGCACGTTCGGCGATGACCTCACATCTGCTTGAGCGAAATGTGGCTTTCCTGCTTCCGCTATGAGTCACCATGACAATTAAAAAAGACAAAGTCCTATTTCAGGAGCAAATAAAGCAATTAATGAACACTGTTATCTTCCAAATATAATGGGCTTTTAAGTCTCCAAGCTTGAATTAAAAAGGCGGTGGCTTGTAAATATTGGTCGCTACCAGTTAAAGCTAACGCCGCACAGCAAAGTTTGCAGCCTCCACTTCTTCAGTCTAAAACAACCGGAGGGAGACGGATGGTAAATAAAGGAGCCGTCCCTGTGTTATAATTGTGTTATAACTTCTGAATGCAGAATCACTTCTGTATTCAGCCTGAAAGAACGAGTTTATGGGAACGAGAGAGCCAGAGCCAGACAGCCTTCACAAGAAGCATGCAAAAGTAGTAAAACTAAACTACACGGAGACCTTAAGGAACACGGCCATATTTTTCTAAGAGCAACATCTTTGAAGCTGAACATTCGGCTGAACTTGAACTCTGACACCAGAGCTGCCCTACTGTTGAGCTTTGGGGTTGTTGAGTTTCCTCGTGATTCAGAAGCAAAACGCCCAAACCGTAATCTACTCCATATTTTTGTCACAAACGACAACAAACACACATAATATGCTTCAAAATAAATACAAAATAAAGTAAAAAAATTGTCCCATAGAATAAAAATATGTTTATATATTTAAATAGCACATTTTTGAAAGAAAAATGTCTGAGAATATTGCCAACCTAAATAGACTAGATGAGATTGTAAATATCATCTTTGTTTCTGTTTGTTCGCACTGTAACTCTATGCCTGTTATTTGTGGTCATTTTGTTTAGATGGTACCACAAAATCCTCTGGGGTATCATCAGGTAAAGTTTTCTACAAAAACTTTTATAAAATGTTAGTTTGCGCTCTAACTGTGTTATTTTGTGGTCATCTTGTTTATATGGTGATGAAGGACTACCAACAGGTAAAGAAGGAGTTATCATCATCCTATAAAACTTTTCTATTGCCTTCATCTGCAAACATTTAAAAAACATTTTTGTAGAAAGATGTCCTTCTTTACCTGGTGTTTTATTGCTTTCTTCTGCACCATATTAAAGAAATAATCACAAATGTCTGCCATTTGTGATTATTTCTTTAATATGGTGCAGATGAAAGAAATAAAACACCAGGTAAAGAAGGACATCTTTCTACAAAAACGTTTTAAAAATGCTTGTTTGCGCTCTAACTGTGTTATTTTGTGGTTATATATTTTGCATGGTGAAGGTAAAAACCTAGAACCACCACCAGATTATAACTGGTGGGATTGTTGCGTTTTATTTTATTGTTCGTCTATTTTACAAGCACAGACCACATGTGGCAAATTTCCAGAATAACAAAAACTGCACAAAAGAAAACACAAGACAGAATAAAAAGAAACACGGCTGTGGTCTTTGGCTGCACATGCAACATCTATTGGCGTGTTCCACCAATAGAATGTGAAATTGTTGCATGAATTATTATATCAGCACGTCCATCGCACAGTAACGGGCTCTTTGCACGTTCGACGATGACCTCACATCCGCTTGAGCGAAATGTGGCTTTCCTGCTTCCGCTATGAGTCACCATGACAATTAAAAAAGACAAAGTCCTATTTCAGGAGCAAATAAAGCAATTAATGAACACTGTTATCTTCCAAATATAATGGGCTTTTAAGTCTCCAAGCTTGAATTAAAAAGGCGGTGGCTTGTAAATATTGGTCGCTACCAGTTAAAGCTAACGCCGCACAGCAAAGTTTGCAGCCTCCACTTCTTCAGTCTAAAACAACCGGAGGGAGACGGATGGTAAATAAAGGAGCCGTCCCTGTGTTATAATTGTGTTATAACTTCTGAATGCAGAATCACTTCTGTATTCAGCCTGAAAGAACGAGTTTATGGGAACGAGAGAGCAGAGCCAGACAGCCTTCACAAGAAGCATGCAAAAGTAGTAAAACTAAACAACACGGAGACCTTAAGGAACACGGCCATATTTTTCTAAGAGCAACAACTTTGAAGCTGAACATTCGGCTGAACTTGAACTCTGACACCAGAGCTGCCCTACTGTTGAGCTTTGGGGTTGTTGAGTTTCCTCGTGATTCAGAAGCAAAACGCCCAAACCATAATCTACTCCATATGTTTGTCACAAACGACAACAAACCCAAATAATATGCTTCAAAATAAATACAAAATAAAGTAAAAACATTGTCCCATAGAATTAATAAAATATTTTATATACTTAAATAGCACATTTTTACAAGAAAAATGTCTGAGAATATTGCCAACCTAAATAGACTAGATGACATTGTAAATATCATCTTTGTTTCTGTTTGTTTGCACTGTAACTCTATGCCTGTTATTTGTGGTCATTTTGTTTAGATAGTACCACAACATCCTCTGGGGAATCATCAGGTAAAGTTTTCTACAAAAACTTTTATAAAATGTTAGTTTGCGCTCTAACTGTGTTATTTTGTGGTCATCTTGTTTAGATGGTGATGAAGGACTACCAACAGGTAAAGAGGAGTTATCATCATCCTATAAAACTTTTCTATTGCCTTCATCTGCAAACATTTAAAAAACATTTTTGTAGAAAGATGTCCTTCTTTACCTGGTGTTTTATTGCTTTCTTCTGCACGATATTAAAGAAGTAATCACAAATGTCTGCCCTTTGGGATTATTTCTTTAATATGGTGCAGATGAAAGCAATAAAACACCAGGTAAAGAAGGACATCTTTCTACAAAAACGTTTTAAAAATGCTTGTTTGCGCTCTAACTGTGTTATTTTGTGGTTATATATTTTGCATGGTGAAGGTAAAAACCTAGAACCACCACCAGATTATAACTGGTGGGATTGTTGCGTTTTATTTTATTGTTCGTCTATTTTACAAGCACAGACCACATGTGGCAAATTTCCAGAATAACAAAAACTGCACAAAAGAAAACACAAGACAGAATAAAAAGAAACACGGCTGTGGTCTTTGGCTGCACATGCAACATCTATTGGCGTGTTCCACCAATAGAATGTGTGAAATTGTTGCATGAATTATTATATCAGCACGTCCATCGCACAGTAACGGGCTCTTTGCACGTTCGGCGATGACCTCACATCTGCTTGAGCGAAATGTGGCTTTCCTGCTTCCGCTATGAGTCACCATGACAATTAAAAAAGACAAAGTCCTATTTCAGGAGCAAATAAAGCAATTAATGAACACTGTTATCTTCCAAATATAATGGGCTTTTAAGTCTCCAAGCTTGAATTAAAAAGGCGGTGGCTTGTAAATATTGGTCGCTACCAGTTAAAGCTAACGCCGCACAGCAAAGTTTGCAGCCTCCACTTCTTCAGTCTAAAACAACCGGAGGGAGACGGATGGTAAATAAAGGAGCCGTCCCTGTGTTATAATTGTGTTATAACTTCTGAATGCAGAATCACTTCTGTATTCAGCCTGAAAGAACGAGTTTATGGGAACGAGAGAGCAGAGCCAGACAGCCTTCACAAGAAGCATGCAAAAGTAGTAAAACTAAACAACACGGAGACCTTAAGGAACACGGCCATATTTTTCTAAGAGCAACATCTTTGAAGCTGAACATTCGGCTGAACTTGAACTCTGACACCAGAGCTGCCCTACTGTTGAGCTTTGGGGTTGTTGAGTTTCCTCGTGATTCAGAAGCAAAACGCCCAAACCGTAATCTACTCCATATTTTTGTCACAAACGACAACAAACACACATAATATGCTTCAAAATAAATACAAAATAAAGTAAAAAAATTGTCCCATAGAATGAATAAAATATGTTTATATATTTAAATAGCACATTTTTGAAAGAAAAATGTCTGAGAATATTGCCAACCTAAATAGACTAGATGAGATTGTAAATATCATCTTTGTTTCTGTTTGTTCGCACTGTAACTCTATGCCTGTTATTTGTGGTCATTTTGTTTAGATGGTACCACAAAATCCTCTGGGGTATCATCAGGTAAAGTTTTCTACAAAAACTTTTATAAAATGTTAGTTTGCGCTCTAACTGTGTTATTTTGTGGTCATCTTGTTTATATGGTGATGAAGGACTACCAACAGGTAAAGAAGGAGTTATCATCATCCTATAAAACTTTTCTATTGCCTTCATCTGCAAACATTTAAAAAACATTTTTGTAGAAAGATGTCCTTCTTTACCTGGTGTTTTATTGCTTTCTTCTGCACCATATTAAAGAAATAATCACAAATGTCTGCCATTTGTGATTATTTCTTTAATATGGTGCAGATGAAAGCAATAAAACACCAGGTAAAGAAGGACATCTTTCTACAAAAACGTTTTAAAAATGCTTGTTTGCGCTCTAACTGTGTTATTTTGTGGTTATATATTTTGCATGGTGAAGGTAAAAACCTAGAACCACCACCAGATTATAACTGGTGGGATTGTTGCGTTTTATTTTATTGTTCGTCTATTTTACAAGCACAGACCACATGTGGCAATTTTCCAGAATAACAAAAACTGCACAAAGAAAACACAAGACAGAATAAAAAGAAACACGGCTGTGGTCTTTGGCTGCACATGCAACATCTATTGGCATGTTCCACCAATAGAATGTGTGAAATTGTTGCATGAATTATTATATCAGCACGTCCATCGCACAGTAACGGGCTCTTTGCACGTTCGGCGATGACCTCACATCTGCTTGAGCGAAATGTGGCTTTCCTGCTTCCGCTATGAGTCACCATGACAATTAAAAAAGACAAAGTCCTATTTCAGGAGCAAATAAAGCAATTAATGAACACTGTTATCTTCCAAATATAATGGGCTTTTAAGTCTCCAAGCTTGAATTAAAAAGGCGGTGGCTTGTAAATATTGGTCGCTACCAGTAAAGCTAACGCCACACAGCAAAGTTTGCAGCCTCCACTTCTTCAGTCTAAAACAACCGGAGGGAGACGGATGGTAAATAAAGGAGCCGTCCCTGTGTTATAATTGTGTTATAACTTCTGAATGCAGAATCACTTCTGTATTCAGCCTGAAAGAACGAGTTTATGGGAACGAGAGAGCAGAGCCAGACAGCCTTCACAAGAAGCATGCAAAAGTAGTAAAACTAAACAACACGGAGACCTTAAGGAACACGGCCATATTTTTCTAAAAGCAACAACTTTGAAGCTGAACATTCGGCTGAACTTGAACTCTGACACCAGAGCTGCCCTACTGTTGAGCTTTGGGGTTGTTGAGTTTCCTCGTGATTCAGAAGCAAAACGCCCAAACCGTAATCTACTCCATATGTTTGTCACAAACGACAACAAACACACATAATATGCTTCAAAATAAATACAAAATAAAGTAAAAACATTGTCCCATAGAATGAATAAAATATGTTTATATACTTAAATAGCACATTTTTACAAGAAAAATGTCTGAGAATATTGCCAACCTAAATAGACTAGATGACATTGTAAATATCATCTTTGTTTCTGTTTGATTGCACTGTAACTCTATGCCTGTTATTTGTGGTCATTTTGTTTAGATAGTACCACAAAATCCTCGGGGGGATCATCAGGTAAAGTTTTCTACAAAAACTTTTATAAAATGTTAGTTTGCGCTCTAACTGTGTTATTTTGTGGTCATCTTGTTTAGATGGTGATAAAGGACTACCAACAGGTAAAGAGGAAGTTATCATCATCCTATAAAACTTTTATTGCCTTCATCTGCAAAATTTAACATTTTGTAGAAAGATGTCCTTCTTTACCTGGTGTTTTATTGCTTTCTTCTGCACGATATTAAAGTAATCACAAATGTCTGCCCTTTGGGATTATTTCTTTATTGGTGCAGATGAAAGCAATAAAACACCAGGTAAAGAAGGACATCTTTCTACAAAAACGTTTTAAAAAATGCTTGTTTGCGCTCTAACTGTGTTATTTTGTGGTTATATTTTTGCATGGTGAAGGTAAAAACCTAGAACCACCACCAGATTATAACTGGTGGGATTGTTGCGTTTATTTTATTGTTCGTCTATTTTACAAGCACAGACCACATGTGGCAAATTTCCAGAATAAAAAACTGCACAAATAAAAAAAAACACAAGACAAGAATAAAAAGAAACACGGCTGTGGTCTTTGGCTGCACATGCAACATCTATTGGCGTGTTCCACCAATAGAATGTGTGAAATTGTTGCATGAATTATTATATCAGCACGTCCATCGCACAGCAACGGGCTCTTTGCACGTTCGGCGATGACCTCACATCCGCTTGAGCGAAATGTGGCTTTCCTGCTTCCGCTATGAGTCACCATGACAATTAAAAAAGACAAAGTCCTATTTCAGGAGCAAATAAAGCAATTAATGAACACTGTTATCTTCCAAATATAATGGGCTTTTAAGTCTCCAAGCTTGAATTAAAAAGGCGGTGCTTGTAAATATTGGTCGCTACCAGTAAAGCTAACGCCACACAGCAAAGTTTGCAGCCTCCACTTCTTCAGTCTAAAACAACCGGAGGGAGACGGATGGTAAATAAAGGAGCCGTCCCTGTGTTATAATTGTGTTATAACTTCTGAATGCAGAATCACTTCTGTATTCAGCCTGAAAGAACGAGTTTATGGGAACGAGAGAGCAGAGCCAGACAGCCTTCACAAGAAGCATGCAAAAGTAGTAAAACTAAACAACACGGAGACCTTAAGGAACACGGCCATATTTTTCTAAGAGCAACAACTTTGAAGCTGAACATTCGGCTGAACTTGAACTCTGACACCAGAGCTGCCCTACTGTTGAGCTACGGGGTCAATTTTTATTAATCCGGAAATGACCGAGCCGCTTCTGTCTGAACACAGAAGCTGACGAGCAAAGGAGCAAAGAGCCCATATGTCTTAACGCAGGAAATGGCCGACCTGCGCCGCACATGCAGGTCTCCTGAAAAAATTATTTAAGGAAATACACCATCTTATTAAAATACTAACATTTAAATAGATTCACACTAAAATGTGAATCGATCAAGAAGTTATGTTCATATATATATATATCACAGATTGCGTCCATGGTGATACAGCACGATGTCTGTATTAGGAAGTCCCAAGATGCATTTCTTGTCCAGTCTTGGGAACCAGTGATCAATTTTAAGCGTCTCCATTTGGTGGCCAAAATGTGCAACAGAGACCAGCTACCTACGGAACATGGAAAAACTGCAAATATGCAAAATATGCTTATAAGAAATACAATTTTCGCCATTGTTTACACACAAATCATAGTACTTTAGACACACGTAAAGTACTTTGTACTTTGGTTGGTTCAGCACCAACTCGCTGAACCAGTCCTGCTGACCTACAGGCACAATTCCTGCTTCATGTTGAAGTTGCGGTTCCAAATCACACTTCTTCCGAAACAACACACAATTTTCTGCATTTGGCACAATTTTCATGAAGAAAATTAACTCACCGTTTTCACAAGAAACACACTGTGTGTATGTGTTTTTTTATTTGCATGAAGAGTTCTGAGAGTGTTCTTCTATAAGAAGGAGTAATTATTGCTCTATAAAAACATTCAAAAAATATACTTGTTTGTTTGTAACATGGTGCACGTAAAAGGGATAACCTGAAGACGTGTTTTTTGTTTTTTTACACTGTAGCATGATGTCTACAAAAGCCAATTTGTTAATTTACCCAAATTAATATTGTGTTCTTGCTGTTTCTTTTTGCAGGGGTGATTGCTGGTACTGTGTGTGGTGTCGTGATCTTGGTGGTGCTTGTGATTGTCTTAATTCTGTGCAGACGGAAACTCTGCAACAGACAAGGTTAGGAGCAGCACCGTAAAAAATACAAACATTGTTCTAATTCCATTGCAATCGTAAGCATGGTTTTTCATTCAGCAGTTTGGCAACTTAAAACTCAGATTTTGCACCAATCTATTCATAAAAATTGACTGTGTGACACGTTATTTGCACAGACGTCACATATCCCAAACAAAACATAAATACCCTGAAGTTATATTTAAATATTCACTATTTTTGCATGTTGTGCTTCAGGGGAAACATCGGAGCAGAAGATTAACCCAGTACAAAGCGCAGAGGTCAGTATTTGTGTCTCATTTACATTTGATAAGAACAGGAGCATTCATCTCGTCACCACTCTGCAACTCGTGCTGATTGTGGTTTTGTTTTCCAGAGAAATGATAGAGATCACCAATATGAAGAGATACAGACGCAGAACAAACAAGCAAACACAGTCTGCACTCTTTATTCTACGGTGAACCCACCTGCAGACCAGCTGCACTACGCCAGCGTCAATATCCAGGACACAGATCACGCCACTGGTGGTGATCAAAATGCCTCTGCTCATCCTCCAGCAGAGACCACTCTCTACTCTACCGTCACAAACCTTGGAAAATAGAGCAGTCTAACTTCCTGTGTGTTTTTTTTTCTGAAACATGTAAAGAATCTGATCTTTTTCTGGGTACTTCACAGTAGCGCCCTCAAGGGGGGCAGAGAGAGCGACCATTGAAAAAATGCTGGTGCCCCCAACAAATTTAGTTCATGTCATGTCTTCTTAAGTGACGACATAAATGTAAACGGGCAAAGTAAACGAATAAATGAAATTCTATTATTTTTTGTAGTCCCTAAAATGGGCACCCTATGAGAATTTTCAGGGGCGCCACTGAGACGTGGAGAAAGGCCGCTTCAAACTGCTGCAAGGGTTTTAAAGAAGGAATGTCTTGCGTCAGGAAACCTTTTGATTTCTTACACGCCTAACCCAATAGAGAAGCTGCAGGAGCATCAGCTCCAGCCACTTGTACGGGACGGAGAATCAAGAGGAGAGCAAATCCAGTACTATGTCCAGCTGAGCCTGAAACTTATTGTGTCACTGCCACTTCAAAAGGCTGATAACCGTATTGTCTGCAGACTTTATGGGATGGTGGTCTTGGGATGGTGGAATGTACATGCTGATTCTTTGTTTTGTTTGCTTGTGAATAAGTGGAACTCTGCAGCTCTGGAGTCAAAAACTGCATCTGGAGTTTTTATTTTACTAATTTCATGCATTAATGTCTATTCGTTGGCTTTTTTGTCTTGATTTAAGACATCTTGTTTGACTTTGATCAAGCATTGTATCAGAATTAAAAGCTAACTACCTTTCAGAAATGTTTTTTTCCCCTTGTTTGACATGTATTCTGAACCTGAGTTTCACAAGGCACTATGAATTACAACTGGAATAGAATGTTAGTATCTTCTTTTAAAGGAAAATAATTATTTGATTATCCAGTACATATATTCTTAACAAGACTGAAGTCACAACCTTCCATAATAAATTACACAAAATTTGCAACATAATGTAGATGCGCGACACTGTGAGTTGGATTTTTTACAATTTTATTTTATTTTACATTTCCTGCAACGTTTGGGATAATTTCTCTGGCCATTTTCAGCATTTTATGTTATTTTGTACCCTTTAAAAATTAGAAGATGTAAACAATTGTTTTCAATTTTTTATTTTTTTACCAAGTATTAATCTACAAAATATTAATATTTTATGACAAATGACAATGTACCATTTTTCCGTATTGTTGTTCCACAGCGCCATCTTGCGGCTAGTTATGGAATCATTAATGGCAGATTTTTCCACTCAGCTCACGTCATCTCTTCTTATTCAGTCTGAACTCATCTGTCGATGGTGGATAACTTGGCGGATACAATTTTTAAAAAATGACAACAACGTAATTAGCGTTTAATAAGAGCGGTTTCACGTTGTATCGTTTAAAGTGCGTAATGAATAGATGGCGTTTAAAATATGCAAACGACCTGCTGTGTCATTAAGTGCACAAACTTTTAAAATCTGCCACTCTTAAAATAGATGAACAACGCCACCAAGTTGATATTTTGTGTCTTACCCTGACATGTGTAATCAGGCTTTTTAATTCACTGGTGTGTTAGAAATTAGAAAGATGAGAAAAGCAGCTGTGTGACATTTTGGAACAACTAATTTTGTGCTTAGTGTACTTTAATAGTCTTTAAATTGCACTAAAGTACAATTTAAAGTGTACTAAGTGTTAAGTTGTTTTTTTGGAGAACTTAAGTTACACTTGGCATACTTTAAGTATATTGTTTTTATGTAATATAAATGTGCTTGATTAGTATATTTAGAGTGTACTATTTTTGTAATTGAATTACATTTAAAATATAATTAGAATGTATTTTAAGTATATTGGCATTACATATTTTATGTATTAGTGCGGTTACAGTATGCTACAGTTACACTTTTGGTTTATTATAATTGCTAATGAAGCAACTTTTTAGTTACTTAATGTCTTTTATTATTCTGCTTTGCCACTTTGTACATCAGGCATTACAGTACTGCAAACACTTCAGTTTCCCAGAACACAGAAGGATCAATTATAACACACTTTACGGGCGAAACTAATAAACTCATTATTCATTGTACTATATCAAGTTGCACTATTAAGATTGTTTGTTTTTTTTATTTTTTGTCATTTTAACAAAAATAGTAAAAGATGATTAAGGCACCTAAAAAGTCATTCTTTATTAGCCTAAAGTATACACTGAAATCTAATTTAAAACATATTGAAATTAATAATCTAAAGTAAGCATTAAATTAATTTTACGTTAATTTTTAAAATGTCATTATATCTTGTTAAATAAATATTTGACACCAACTCTTATTTACTCTTATTAGGTCTTTTAGCTTTAGATATCCACATCTTTCTGTCATAAGAATCAAATCAGATGTAAAAATATAACACCATTTCCAGATATCTCATATAAAAAAAAAATCTAAAAAAATTATAAATATCAAAATAAAAATAAAAAAAAAAACACGAGGGTGTTTTGTTGCCTTCATTTAATGCCTAAAGACGTTTACATTTTCTGAAGCGATAATAAAACGATGCTCTTACTTTTGAAGTTCAAGTCCAGAGACTTCCAGTTAGAAAATGTAAAACATGGACGTGCGTGAGTCTACGGACGCGATGACGAACTCTCAATCTGACCAATGATTAGACGAGCAGACCTCGAAGGCGGGGCTTCGACCTCCGGCGGAGGCTGGGTGTCGCCTGACCGGATGATGACAGAAGTTTTCACTGGCAGCCAGTTACTTTTCTTAAACGCTGACCCGTTAACGAGCTGACAAGCTCACTGAATGTAGCCTTTTCCGCCTTTTTTCCTTAATAAACAAAAAGAAGTAGAAGACAGACTTTCAGAAAGAAGCAGTGGCGGGCTGCTGAACCATTTGGAAACTTTTTTTTTTTCTTTCTTCCCCCTGCCGTTGGAAGAGCGAACCATAATTTGACTCGCGAGGTGTCTGGGATACAGCCCGCAGGGCTCACAGAGGCACCGCCATGGGAAACCGGGGGATGGAGGACCTCATTCCCCTCATCAACAAGCTGCAGGACGCCTTCAGCTCCATCGGCCAGAGCTGCAACCTGGACCTGCCGCAGATAGCGGTGGTCGGCGGGCAGAGCGCCGGGAAAAGCTCCGTGTTGGAGAATTTCGTTGGGAGGTTGTACAGCCCGTGTCTCCTCTTCCGTTTGACCTCTTTTAGACCGAGTTTAGCGACTCTTAGTGTGTCGTGAACACTTGGAATAAAAAACAAACAAACAAAAAAACTCTCCTGTTAATCAGTTGTATCGGTTCCTCCCAGTTTATAACGGTTTCCCCCACCCTCTCCCACATAACCGATTCTTTCCATTCTCGCGGTATTTACGGTCCATTCCTAGTTAGCTTACGCATAAAAAACAGATGTTTGACAGGCAACATAAATTCTGTGAAATGGGTGTAAAAATGCACTTCGACCAGGCACTAGGTGAAAAAGTGACTGTGAGTGTGACCAATCTAATGCTGTCATCAGGGCCTCCTATCAGCCATGTCTAGTCAAACATTCACAAAGCCTGCTGGATCATAAGATTGCCCAGCTGTAAACACAGACCTCACGTCACACAGGTTACTGTTTGAATTTTAAGGGTGTGGAAGAAAAAGGTCAGTTTGTAGATTGAGGTCATTGGCAGGTGAAATAGCTTATCATTCAGACATACAGGAATTGAGACAGGAGCTCAAACCCTTTTGCGTAATCTTGTGTTTATGTGTGGGATTGAATAAGGAAATCCTGACAAAGCCAAACATCAATTGTGACTTTAAGAAAAAATCCCTTTTTTGTGGACACAGTTAGAGAAATTGGTAGAAATGGTGAGGAGAACATCTGTTTAAAATAAGATTGAATTGCCTTAAATCTGCTGAAGATCGGTGCATCCACATAGTTTTTTCTTAACCTCAGCTAAAGTGCAGGGTGATAGTGAAAGCAGAATATGATGGCCACGTCTCTGCGTTTTTTTTTTTTTTTTCCCTGTCGCCTTTTGTTTCTGAACCCCGCAGCAGCCGCACAGGGAGACAGTGGAGGCATTGATGTGTCTGCGCCCGGGTCGCCAGTCATGTCACCAGCTGCATCGTCATGCGTACATGACACACTGGGTACCAGATACCCACAAAGCTGGTAGCTGTTCCCATGTTCGGTAATCATGCAGGGACGCAATGCAGGCTTTTGACTCCAGTGTGTCAGTTTTTAAATGAGTGGCTCTTGGTTTCTGACCGGTCCAAAGAAGCTGTTCTCCTCGTTTGTAATTGGCAGAACCTCGCAAAGACGTTCGACCTTAACCCTCTGAGTTGTCCACATTTGGTCATTAGCGTTTTCTGCTGCACACAAATTAGATAATGCTTGCTAAGTAGGATAATATAATATGCAAATTAAAATCTGAAAAGTGTGGGGTGCATTTGTATTTAGTTGCTCGGAGTCACAGATTTATAGACCTGTTTTCAGTTGCAACTACAGCTGCATGTTTTTTGTCTTCCCTTTCTAGTTTTGGACCTAAAAGATTTATCTTTTTTTTTTTTTTGCAAAATAGTTCAATCAGATTTAGGTCTTGACTTTGACTGGGCTGCACTATAACCTGGAGTTTTGGTCTTATCTGACTAAATCAAACTGTCCACATGACTCACTTCTTGTTGCTCGGCCTTTGTAACATAAAATAGATCACTCATTAGCATTCATCCAGAAATGGCAGTCAATAAAAGGCATTTCTGAGCAATTTACCAGAATAATGATTCACGACCTGAACTGCCTTGTTCATATTTTATGCTTCAGTGGCATAAGTGACTGAGGAAACGGATGGAAATCAAAGTTGTGCAACATCCTAACTGCTCAGTCAGCGCTGAACTTTAAGAACAGTGGAAACATGCATTTGGGAACATATGCATGTACTCCAGTATTGACCTCAGTGCATATATGAAGGTTTTTTTTGTTTTTGTTTTTAGTCGCTCTGGTTGCCGTCTTTCGAATAAAATGCTGAGTCTCCCTGGCTGCCAGACGCCCAGACGGACAGAAAAGCAGACATATTCTCCTCGCCTGCAGAGACGTGGGGGCACTGACCTGGAAATGATCGCGATTGTATTGAGCAGAAGTTTCCATTCCGATGAGCACGTGTGCAACGAGAAGAGGGAACGCAGGCAGATGCTTCAACTCTATTTAGACTGTGGTAGTTTACAGCGAACATCATTAAATGTCACTTCAGAAGACAGAAGCAAGTTCAGTTCACGTGGAGACATGCGGTTTCATTTGGCCCAGATTAAATAATTCATATCAATTTCAGTCACTGTAATACTAGGACTGGGCGATATGGCTTCCGTCTAAAATCTCTCAATTTTTGTCAAACCGATTTACGATTCCAATCTGTTTTTGTTCTCGCTTTATTCTCTTAACCAAGAAATTATAAATGGGAGAAAAAATTTTCAAAAAGAGGCTTTTCTTTCAGTCGTTCCTTCTGCGAGTTGTAGGGACACAGTCATAAAATAATAAAGAAAGTTTTATCAGAAAAACATCTTAGAATTATGAGAAAAAAATCATTTTGTTGTGTTGCGTTGCATTTGTTTGTTGAGTCATCTGATTTTGTCCTTGTATTACTACAACTCTCGTAATGTCTTCACTTTATTCTTATAATGGAAAAAGAAAAACATCTTAGCCCGACCGTTGTATTCTGTTGCAGAGTTGACCTGAATTCAGAGTCCAACTAAACAGAATCTGTAAAACTGGCCCATCAAACAAGATG